ACGCGAGAGGGGTTTGAGGTTTGACCTATCACGCTTCTCTAGTGCGGGTTGATAAGCTTTAACGACTACCACCACATATTAAACTTAATTTCGACGGATTAACGTGCTTTCTGGGTATGGAGGTCCCCCTACTTTTAACTTCCCACCCCCTACTTCCAAGTTCTGAGCTAGTAGAGTAGCAAGAGCCATCCAGCTTTAGCGCCAGGAGGGGGTCGTATAGTCTTGGTCAACTCAAGAATTTTTTGATTTTGATAAAAATAGATACAAGTAACAAGTAGGTATTTTATTAATGTACTAAACTGTACTTCAAAATATTTACAGAATTACTTAATTAAAGTCAATATGTTCAATTATTTATGTATTTATTTCAGCTTTATTACTTACTAGCGGCCCTGTCCCGGCATCGCACGGGTAGAAGTAATAAACGGGTAGAGTAAATAAATTCAGATATTAAAATTATAAGCATGCTAATTAAAACGACCATGAGTCACTAAATTAGTAAAAAAAATGTATTTCACAGCTAGGAAGCTGTTAACGACCTTTGTCTATCACGCTGTGTCAGGAGCCGCTGGGAGCGTTCAGTGTTAGAGTCCCGTGCACGCGTTCGCGAATTCCTAGCTCTATTTCCTTCAAGTCGCTGAGACGAACTTGCATTTTGTTCTGCAAAACGAACCTGAACATTCAACGATAGATTCTCATGCTTGCGATTGGGACACGTACACTATAATACTTTCTAGATTATCATTTCATCATCATCATCACAGATCATAGAAAGAAGACTCTCCAATACGGCTTTCCTCTTTATAATATTAGTATAGATAATTGCCACATAAACTACAAAAGATAAATTCTTACATACTAAGTTATAAATAACCTTTTCACTAAGCAGCGATCTCTTCCAGGCAACCGGAATACAAGAGAAAAGAAATAGAAAATAACTTATTTATTTTTTATTTATTAGTTACACTTATTTGAAAATTATTTTAACTACGGACGTTTCGAATGCTTTGCAGCAACCGTGGTCTCGGAGAGAAAAAGCAAAAAAGCAGTCTTCTAACAAGATCAAAGCAAAGGTCTTGTGACATTTCCACTGCTTTTATATGGCTAACAATTACCAAATAAGAAAAATGCAATTTCAGTGTTCGTCTATTACGTACAGGAGCTACTGAGTACAAATGAGTATAATAACTTTTACAAAAAGGGTCAAAAGAACGATTCATCTCTTCTACCTCTACTAGACAAAAGTGAGTTACGTAACTCAACTCTCATTGCCACAGTAATTTGTAAAAGTTAACGCATGGAGCGACCAACTTGGGGTAAAGTGCACCAGTTTAAATAGACCTTCTGAGTAGAACTGCGGAGCTTCTTAATACTCCAAGGAGCGTAGTAACAAGGCGGGGTTGGAAGCTCATGTGGGGATGGTCACAAAGAAACGATGATTAGAATCATTTATCATTTTAATACGACTGCTATCCCTTGTTAATAGGATGTCGAGGGAATTAATAGTCGTAACATTATTTACATTGTGCAGTTTGCGGGTTTGAATAATTATGTTTATTGTTTTATAAATTACCTGCTACTTATTAAATTTGCACGATTTTCAGATTCCACTTAGTGGAATCGAAATAATCCGCTTTAGCGATTCGTTTTAATTGAAGAAGCAGCATTTGTTTGTATTAAAAATGTAATTTAATATATGTATATTTCATTAAATATTTTCCAGAATCCAGACCTGCACGGAAAACTTATAATAATTAAATTTTTATTATAAGAAATCAATAGAAGAAACAAAAATGGGCCAGTTCGAGTATATGTAAGAGTTCGTTATTTTTTAATGACTTGCTAAAAATTATACCTAAATCGCGCCTGAAAACATTATATACACACTTCATTTTAAGTGCAAGTATTACCACTGGTACATCGTTAATTTAAGTATGATTTTCAATTTAAATAAAACACATATAACGGTTTAAAACGTGAAATAAATTAATTAACTTATTTTTAATTTATTTTAACTACGTGACTACCTTGCTTGTGCCTACTTGGATGCAAAGCACTGACAATGGAGCGATGGAAGTTAACTAATATATTTCGCGTTTAACGTTGAAAGGGCATTATTTCATTGTTTGAGTAAACTATAGATTGTCTATTAATCATTATTAGCTTCTCAATATAGGTATTCATTTATTCACTGCACAGCACAAGTATCACGTACTGCATGAAAGATGCAAAACATGCTGTGTTCTGTTGTATTTCATGCGACATTTTGTCATCTGGCTATCACACTCAAGAACGTGGCCAGAGTGCGTAAAGTGTTCAGGAATCCGAAATAAGTTATAAAATACACAATACGTTCTCTACTCTTACAAAGACATTTGTATATTTCAATGTCTAAGCATTACATGGATCAATGATAATACAGTAAGAAGAAGCTTATTGCAATATTCAATTAAGAAGCATCGCATATAAAAACCCCTTCCCCCCCCCCTTAATAAAGTTAAATTCGGAAAACACTTATTAATCAATGTACCTGTTTATATCCAATATAATGTTAATAAGTAATATCATAATTAATTTTAATAAAACAATACACAAATTACCTAACTTGAGAGAGATCTTGTCGCTATACTTCCTCAAATGTGGATAAACGTTCTGATTTAAAATCGTGTGTACTTAGTTTAAACGAGGGATAATTACTGAATAAGTACAGATACAGTAATCAGGGCTGTTATCCGAAACGTCGAGTTGTATAAAAAAATTCAATACAATTTATGTTCTTAACTGTTACAGATAGAATTAAGATAACATTTCCATGCCCATTAAGTTAAGACAAAGACGTTCGAGCGAAAGGACCGCTTTATTTCCATGGCTCAGTAGTTAAATACGTTTAAAAGAAGAAAAATCCTGGGTTTGAAGAAAATATAAAAACAAGTTTGATCAACGATTTGTCTGTAATTAAAAATCAAAAATACGTCTGCCCAATGCTCCACTTGCGGGAAACAGGCTTTATCAACGTAAAATACAATGAAAGAAGCGAAATAAAATAAAAAAGTATCAAAGAATGCTTTCGTAACAGACCTTCGTAATCCACGCAGGAAATAAGAAGCAGTTTTTTGCCTTTATGTGGGTATTAGACTTATTTATTGTACCGTGTACTGTTTTGCGTTCTCATTTCCACGATTCTACCGTATGATGGCGTTCGGGTTTCTTCGCTTTTAAATTAAATAAATAATGCATACAATTTGTGCGCAATAAACTTTGGAGGTGTAGCTGGGTAGTCTGCGCTGAATTTCTCGCGCCTGCCCCATTGGGAACAATAACAGTCGAGGAGAGCGCTAAAATGTTGCTAAATAGTTTAAACTTTTTCATAAAAAAAAAACTATTAAGTTACACGATTTTTTTATCAACTACTACTTGCTTGATTTGGTGATAAATGTGTTGTATGAACTAAGGAGTATGAAACTTTATGAAGGAATATTGGTTTTTCGGTCGGACGGGACGGAGACAACTAACTGTTGATGATGCGAATTGTGAATGTCGTTGATCAACTTATTAACTGATTTATAAATGAATAAAAGTCGATGCTGCTATAATGGGTGCCTAGTGTGGTCCTGAACATACTAACTAAAACAAATTCGACACTATTATGGACTAAAAACTATAGAACATTTTATAGCCCCTAGAATGTAAAGGTGTGTTCGCATTGGCGTTTACTGAAGCATTGTCATATTTCCATGCTCGACCGACCCTGAGTTTGAATAGAAATGCCGTTTTCCAGTATGACCACAACCTTTATGCCGTCAAAATATTTAATATGCAGCATGTTATTAGAAAGAAATTACTTTGATGACGGCTACCACTTATTACCACAAGTACATCGCTTATGAGAATTTTGCGATATAAGATTTATAAGAGTGAGATGTCGCGTATCTTTAGTAATTTTTATATTACTAATCTATGTTTATATTACAAAGAGAGTAGAGTTTGTCAGTTTGTTTAAGCGCGGTAATCTCAAGAACTACCGGTTTGAATAGATTTTTTTTGTGTTGAGAGAATTTATCGAGATAACGTTTAAGCTATAAGCCAATAGAGAAGGGTGGTAAATAAATCTTGATGTCTAAAATAAGTATTTTACGCGGACGAAATTGCCACCACAGTTTAGTATTATTTCATTGTCGCATGATCAAAATCAGTTTAGTGGTCGACCATCTTCAATGTCTCCATTTTTTTACATAAATACCTACAAAATTTTACTGATAAAAGTTAACTCTCTAGTAATGACGCAACAGTTATGGGTTTAAATCTTCTTAAATATATCTTATATTGGTGAATCATTTACAAAAGGAAATTTATAGTTTTTGTAATTATGTATTATATTGTGTTAAGTCAAATGTATCTGTGGTACAAGCACATTGGATATTAATAGCCTGTTGTAACACGACTGTCTATTTTGACTTTGTTAATTGTCAAAGTCAGATTTGACCGTCAAATGATAGTCAATTGTCACTCTCATAGTAAATAGTAATACAATATTCCAATGAGCTTCGTCTTAAGAATGCAATTTCCTTCAATGACCAATCGACACTGTTTTTAGCCATGCTGTATCTACCTTGATTGGTCTTGGAGATTTTAAGCTAAGGTAGTCGGTATCTTAGTGATTATGATTTATTATTTTTATCAAATGTTATTTTAGTATGTACTTTTTAAAAGAACATTATTTGGGGAAAGATTTTATCTAATATTTTAATAATGCTGTGCACTATACGCAAATTTGGGGACTAACTCGCAACCACTAATTACTTAATAAATAAATGCTATTGATAAGAACTGTAGGACGTAATACTTATGTCTAAAACTAAACTATACAATAATACTTATTGTCCTGAATAGTGCTCTATCGATTCTTACATCTCAATTATAAAACTCTTATTTTTCTTTTCTGCCTGGATATATAAAGAGAAGTTTACAGTATCGATAAACATTAAATGCGTTCCTAAATCATGTTAAATAGTTTTAAGCGCAGTGCATATCAATGCACTGGTAGTCTCGTAAGATCCATATCTAATATAAACAATTTGGATCAAAAAGAAGAATTGAGTAATTGCCTAAATGCTTTGCCTTCTAAGGCAAAAGTGGTAATATGTGGTGGTGGTGTTATGGGGGCAGCTGTAGCCTATCATTTGTCGAAACGCAATTGGGGTGGAGAAACTGTTGTCATTGAAAAAGAAAGGTAAAAATTAAATTTTAAATAAATTTAAGCGCACCTAATAAATACCATTATATAATATTTTCTCAATAGTGTCGGTGCAGGAAGTAGATGGCATTCATCTGGGCTTGTTGGAGCTTTCAAACCCACTTTAGCTCAAGTTAAAATTGCCCAATCTTCTATTCAACTGCTTAAAGAGCTTGAATCACGAGGACGGGAAACTGGATGGAAGCAATGTGGTTCTCTATTAATTGCAAGAACAAGGGATAGAATGACTGTTTATAGGCGAATGAAGAGCCAATCTGTGTATGTAATTTTACATAATTCTATACTTTATTAAAATGAATTATCAATACTTACAAATTAAAGACCATTCCGTGTAATATTTTACCAAAGACTTGTTTTTTTTTTTCAAGTCTTTGTTGTCTTATATAATCTAATGAGACCTTGATACTGTTGGGTCTCAGTGCAAGACTCCTAAAATAATACCATTCACTAGGTCATGGGGTATCCCGTGTGAGCTAGTAAATCCAGCAAGATGCCAGGAAATTTGGCCATTACTTAATGTGGATGACATTCTTGGTGGCTTATGGATTCCTGGTGATGGAGTTGGTGATCCATATCTGTTTTGCATGTCACTGATGAAGGAAGCTGTTGCTAATGGTAATAAAATGAATCTATCATCTTAATCAAATTTTGTTTTCCGACTTTCCAGACTTTTGATTACACACAACATCTCTCGGTTTTATTTTTATTCATAAAAATCATTTTTTAATGAGCACTCCTCGCGTAAACTATAGAGGTTGCTTAAAGGATAAACTAATATTGCTTCACTCCCCACAGGTGTTGGAGTCATGGAGAACTGTTCAATAACGGCAGTGCATTCTAAAAATGGTAAGGTGTCTGGTGTGGAGACTACTCAAGGCCCAATTGAATGTGAATATTTTGTCAATTGCGCAGGCTTCTGGGCTAGACAGGTGAGATTGACATTAACTATTACATGAATTTAAAATAAAAATGAAGTGTATTTCATTATAGGGATTTTTGACTTATAAATAAAAAAAATAAAATCATGTGCATTCTTTATTAAATAGGCTTAGTAACTACTAGTTCTCAAATATATCATTGCAAGGAATGGATGAGAAACAGTAAAAACTTTTATTGAGAATTAAAGTGTGTGTCTTGACATATATAAATAAAGCAACTAATGTGGTGTGTTTGTCATGTTATAGACACAATATAATGTGTTTCTTGTTAACCCATATTTAATCGATGATGTGCAATAAAGAGCTTTACTGTTAAGAGATTTTTAATTTGTATAGTTCTATTTAAAAAGTGATGATGAAAATTTTTATTCAAAACTATGTAACCATGTAGATAGCTGATTCCAGGTCAAAAATTAAATTATAATCTATTAAATGTGCATTTTAATTAATACAAAGTAATTTACAGCTACATAACAATTTAGTACAGACAATACTTGTTTATGAAGTTTTTAATAACATTTAATTGTTCAGGTTGGACAACTTGCCAAACCTCAAGTTAAGGTGCCGTTACTTCCATGTGAGCATTATTATCTTCATACTAAGAAAATTGAAAATCTAGACTCAATGACACCAGGTAAATATTTCTAATAATAATTTAAAATAAGAATAACATAATGTCTGCTACAAGCGAAGTCCAGATCCAAGTATAACAATACAATGCATATCTCCATTATTTCCAGTACTACGTGATCCGGACGGATATATTTATTTACGAGAAAGGGATGGGTGCATTTTGGCTGGTGGTTTCGAACCAATAGCGAAACCAGTATATGAAGAAGAAAGTAAGTAGGAAACAGTACAAAATTGGGCCTGGGCTTTGAGGACTACTGTCATTAAATAAGCGACGATAACGGGGATCGATGGCATAGCGTTTTTTCACTGCCAGTTCCCAAATTGAGGGAGTAGAACGAACGAGAAAAACTGACAAGAACTCTTTTAACCGTCAAGTTTTTGTTACAAGTTCCCTACACACTTAACAGTCTTTTAAAATATTAGTTATACATATTTCTACACATGGTAAATTGAAAATAGAAAAGGGACTTATTTATGATTTCAGTCGAGACTTCATCTCAAAGATGTCTGTCTGAGGATTGGGACCACTTCCACGTCCTTCTGCAAGAACTACTCAAGCGTGTGCCGAGCATGAATCAGGCTATATTACACAAACTTTGCAATGGCCTTGAGGCTTTTTCACCAGACTGCAAGTGGATTGTGGGTGAAGCCCCTGAGGTGAGGTCCCTAAGCTGGGAAGTTTTAGGAAGATAGCTTTAGGCCACGGTGAGCTTGTTAGGTTAGCTAGTGGCTGAATAGCAGTTGGCATGTCAAGTTTGATTCTAGAACTTTATTATACTGAAGATTTACAAACATAATTAAATGCAAGTCCAGAGTACGATATCCAGTCCCCATACAACGAAGACGTCGACGGGTGTACATACAGATTGACACTGCTTTTAAATGTAACTCTTCAACTCATCACAGTTTATCAAAATGACGTTTTATTTTTTTTTGAGGCAGAGTAGCCTAATTGCAATTTTTATCACTTGACCTATTTTATTATATTTTTAAAGTCTAAAATGACCATCTACAACAGCACAGTGGCCGAAAATTGTTTAATTTCTACACATATAGTTAATTAATTTTCGCCTTAGTTAAATGCGCAGTTTTATTTTCCTCCTTATAGAAAATTAAGTTTTTGTTATTACGCCGCTTTGCCGCTGGCGCCCTCAATTGTTAAGTAAAAATCTGTTAAGTAATTAAAACGCTAGGATAGAACATACATAACGTGACAGCTTTTCGCGATCATCTAATAAAACATACGCAAACAAAAGGCGTGTTAAAAGTTTCCCGGTACGTTGAATTTCATGGATCCAGCTGTGTAGATGCTAAATTCGTGTTATTCAACATTTTGCGAAACTTATCAACGCTGGGTGTCTGAAGAATGTTATTGGTATGTCATTAAGATACTTCGTTGAAAGTATTTAATTTAAAAATCGATTATACTTAAATTAAAAAAGAAATACGACAGAAGCAGGACTTGAACCGACATCCACAGCGTTCCATGCTGTTGCTCTGCTCTGTTGAAACGGTAACTCAATTGGTTAGAGCAACAACACGGAACGCTCTGGATGCCTTCAAGTCCTGCCCGTGTCGTAAATTTTTTCCATCTAAAATCCATTTTTAATTTATATAGTCCCAACATGTGAAAATTTTTAAAGATTTCTAGTATTTAAGCTAATTTAATTTGTAAGTAAAATGTTATGTATACATAACGTCTATACACATTTAAATAAAACACTTTAACGGTTTAAAACGCGATATATTAGTTAAACTTATTTGAAAATGATTTTTAACTACGGCCCGACGTTTCGGATGCTTTGCACACAGCTTATTTGAAAATGATTTTTACACGGCCGGTTTCGGATGCTTTGCAGCAGCCGACTGAATTGACTAACGGTGTCTTCGCGTCAATTCTGTAAGGACCCGGCCAGTTTCGCCAAATAACAAATAGCACTTTTTTACTTTGACGGCAGAGACATCCTTCATCTTTAGTCTCCCCGTGACCACGGCTGCTGCAAAGCATCCGAAACGTCGGGCCGGAGTTAAAAATCATTTTCAAATAAGTTTAACTAATATATCGCGTTTTAAACCGTTAAAGTGTTTTATTTAAATGTTATGTATAGATAATAAGGTAAGAATAGGCGGTTGAAATTTATTTCCATGACTACAGATGTTTAATTATCACGTGGCAGCTGGTATGAAGACAGTTGGTATATCAGCTGCTGGTGGAGTCGCTGAAGCGACAGTCGACGAGATTGTGGAGGGCTACACCAAATACGACATGTATGAATTGGACATCAGCCGTTTCTTGGGCTTGCACAACAACAAGAGATTTCTTAGAGACCGAGTCAAAGAAGCACCAGGTATGTATCGTTTCGCCTTGTCTGAATCGAGCATTGGGGTTGGGAGCTTTGGAGTCAAACAAACGTGTTCCCAGGGCTCCCACAAAGCACCGTAGCGGGTTGATAGTGTGGTTCAGTATCAATCATTCAGGATCAGTGATTCTGATTTCCGATTATAATATAATTATAAAAATGTAAAAAATTTGTAATGTTAATATATAATAATAAATGACTTTAATATATATTTGAAATGGGCCGAGTACTCGGTACTCTGCGTACTCGGCGAGTTTTTTGATACTCGACTCGGCCGAATAACTCGGTTATACTTTGTTATTTGATAACGTGTATACTTTGTTTAAGAAAAGCAATATATTTAGGTAGATATAATTTAAACAACAGCCTTAGTCCAATGATTTATTAGTAATTTATCTTCTCTCTTTCGGAAGTCCTTAAAAAAATCTTAATTAACAAATGCCTTTGCAAACAGTCAAATAACTGGTAGTTAAAGGGGTGAAGGGTGTATCAAAGCAAGCCGACGTCTTTACCGGCGCGAAATGGGAAATTGCCTGAACCAAGTTACTCGGTCGAGTATTTGGTTAAAAGAAACTTGAACCGAGTAAAACTCGGTACTCGTTACTCTGCAAAAGTGTTACTCGGCGCATCTCTAATATTTATCATGGTAATATATAAGTCTAAAAAATATTTTGATGAAGATTAGAATTAAATGTAATCAATGTGTTTCTAGATCGTATTCTATTGTGTCGTGTTTCTAAAATGTCTAAAATATCTCTTGAATATTCATTTTTATGATCAGGTATCCATTATGGTCTTTCATACCCTTTTTACGAGTTTGAAACGGGACGCAATCTTCGGCTTTCGCCAATTTACCCAACGCTGCGAGACAAGGGCGCCGTTTTTGGTCAAGTCATGGGCTACGAAAGACCCACTTGGTTTGAACCTGTAGGTTAGTGATTTTTTTCCTTTTTTAATAATAGACTAAATAAATAGACTCCTGCGGCATTCATTTGAGGAGGCATTGCAGGAGTATATTTATTTCCTCAAATGAATGCCGCAGGCATCACAACTTCATCACTTCCACAAAAAAAAATCAAATTAAATATACTTTATTATCTGTAAAATTATTTAGATTATTAAAAAAAAAAAAACATTTTTTTGTCTGTCTGTTCGTCGTGATTCTACCAGAGTATATAAAATATAAGTTTAATTTAATCCAAGTCGCTTTATAGTGTAATAATTATACACTTTTATTTCCCATTTCACAAATAACTGTTAAAACTTGAACTTATAATACGTGTTCTAGAGAAAGAAGCTGAGAAGCCGCGCCCCTTCAAAATAGCGCATACTAAAACCTTTGGGAAACCGCACTGGTTTGAAACAGTGCAACGAGAATATTGGGCGTGCAGAGAAGCGATTGGTCTAGCTGATTATTCGTCGTTTACTAAAATTGATTTACAGGTAGACACTAACTTCACACTAACTAACTAACTTCTAGTCCCGGGAAAACAACACAAATTTCTCCATCGTCTGATCGATTGCGTGTAAATAATATTCACTGAAAAGATTTTTTTTAATGATAGATGAGGGCAGATAAGCGTGGTGTTCATTCGATGGTAGGTAGTTTAAACACCACAGCTGTCGACCTATTTTGGCTTTGGATATTCGGAAATCCACAGACTGAAACCGAATCACGATTACTGTACACGGCTTTTTCATCTGTGAACGGTTGTTCGGAAGGGAATTTTAAGATTCCTTTCATCCGTTTAATATCCAGATTCCCTGAGAAGTCGTGATGTTTCAGAATAATTAGAAAGGGGTTGTCCATTAATCACGTGAGGCTTGAAAGGGGGGGGGGGGTTTGATACAAATCACGAAAATAACACAAGGGTGGAGGGGGGGGTGTAGTAAGATATCTCGTGTATTTATTTTTTCGTCAAACGCGCGATTTTTAAACAAATGGTGTAGACATTTTTATTATGCTCCTTAATTTCAGAATAAAATAAGATTATAGTTTATATTAAGATAATATTCAGAAAATTTTAAGATTCTTTGTAGGTACTAAAAATACACGTGATGTTGAGAAGGGGGAGGGGGGTGGTCTCAAACCTCACTACGTATCACCAATGGGGGAGGGGGGGGTTTAAAAATTCTAAAAAAAAGGTCACGTGATTAATGGACAACCCCAAACATGTTGAACCCGGCAGGGATCAAACCCACCACCCACTGATTATTAGCCGTATATTTCTACCATTCCACCTGCTAATCCGTCATATATATCTAAGAATATCTTATAATATATCCGTCATAGATTATCTAAGTGCGCTCCTAAAAATGGGACTTTTAGATAAATGTTGCCATTTTTGTAAAATTTGCATATATCTTATAGTATGTATATTTAGTCGCAGGGTACTGAAGTAGTAGATCTACTTCAATACTTGTGTTCAAATAACGTGGACGTACCTGTCGGAAGCATTATACATACTGGAATGCAGAATGAACGCGGTGGCTACGAAAACGACTGCAGTCTCGCTAGGATATCGGAAAATCAGTATGTCCCTTTGTATATTGTATGTTACTTTGTATGTTATAAAATAGGAGGTAGGTGACATGTCATATTGACCAAGTTATATAGGGAAAAAAATTTAAAACATTATTTTTTTCTTTTTTCAGTAGTCCATCTACCGTGTAGGGATTTCCAAATAAACGATAGAACTATATCTCGAATAATGTTGGATTACTTATTTCACTTTTTATTTTAACTATGGTTTCGGATCCTATGCTGCATCCGAAACGTCGGGCCACGATTAAATCAAATTAAAATTATATTACTAATATATATCGCGTTCTAAACCGTTTTATTTCAATTGCAGACAGTAGTTAATATGTAACAATAATAATTTTTAATTTAAATATTTTTATTATAACAATTGCCCGACGTTTCGGAATCTTTGTAGCATCTGAAACATCGGGCCGCAGTTAAAATAATTAATCAAAGTTTCTAATATATTTCGCATTTAAAACCGTTTTCAACTGCAGACAGTACTTGATATGTAACATTAATAATACTTAATTTAAATATTTATTTTTTTATTGTAGCTACATGATGATAGCGCCAACGATACAGCAGACGAGATGCAAAGTCTGGATAAGGCGACACCTTCCCACCAACGGTTCGGTGACGTTATCTGATGTGACATCTCTGTACACGGCCATCTGTATACTAGGACCGTTTACACGGAACCTTCTATCGGAATTGACGGATACCGATTTGTCACCATCGAACTTCCCGTTCTTCACATTCAAGGAATTAGACGTTGGCCTGGCGAATGGCGTGCGAGCGATGAACCTCACCCACACAGGCGAACTCGGCTACGTTTTGTATATACCGAATGAGGTAGTCTACACTAATATTTTAAAAATGAAGAGTCTGAACACGCATTTCAATAAGCTTAATAGTATAAATAATAGCAGTAAAAGTTAAATAACTATATATATTTTTTATTTATATTAAGACTAGGGTCGTCATTTAGATTACAACAAATACATCAATACTAATATATAAGGCTTAAGAGTTTGTTTGTTTGTCCGCGCTAAACTCAGGAACTACTGATTCGAATTGAACAATTATTTCTGTGTTTGTTGTTGTCTATCTAGGATGGCTTTATGATTTTTGCGATTAACAGGAGCAAAGAAAGGAATTAGTAGAATAAACGAAGAAAATTAATCATCTGTAGGCTTACATTGCGTGCGCTACGAAAACGGTTCAAGAAACCAAAATATATGTATAAAAGAATGATTCTACTTTAAGTGTTCTAAAAATTTTCGGGATTTCGGTATATGTCAATGTATAATATAATGTAATATATATATAATGTAATGTAACAAATATAATTTTAAAATTTGTTGCATAGTAAGAATTACAAGGAACTAATCAATACATTGTTACATCTTATTTGAAATACTATTGCGGACATTCTTACATTTAATGTATTTTCAGTTCGCCCTACACGTGTACAATCGACTTACGAAGGAAGGCGAAAAGTACGGTATCACACACGTTGGTTACTATGCGGCGCGTTCGCTTCGAGTCGAGAAGTTCTTTGCGTTTTGGGGACAAGACCTCGACACTATGACGACGCCGTTGGAGTGCGGTCGAACGTGGCGGGTCAAGTTCGATGTGAGATATTTAATTTACAATAAGAATACTCATTTAAAACATTTTTAACGGTTCAAAACGCGAGATACTGCTGATATAATCATCTGAAACGTTGTAATATATAGTTAATAAAAAATAACAAATGTATTTCGCATTTTAAACTGTTAAATATTTTTTATTTAATGCTTACTTTATTCTAGATACACGTTCTTAAGTGGTGTGTATATATTTTCGTTTGATAATTATCTTGACTTGAAAATTAAGCACATGAGCTTTTATAATTTAAAAAAAAACAAAACAATTACGCTACATACATATTACCTGATTGGGAGATTCTGTGATCAATGTACAAAAAATGTGGGAAAAATACAAAAATGTGTAGAGCTCGAGAGAATTTAGAGAAGGTGAAGGGGGGCTACAGCCCCTTGGCCTCCCCATAACTGAGATTTTAGATATTTTTTATTAATTAGTACTATTAAGCACCAGTACACACATTTTCAGTTGATACTATTTTCCATGTTCAAACATTTTTTCTAAATAGAAACAGAAATAGAAATGTTTTTGAGCCCGCAAACTCCACTCCTTTATTGTCCTACGAGGCCTAACTCTCTAGTTACTATTTATATACATACTATGTTGTACATAAATACATTTTCTTTACCAGAAAGATATTCCGTTCATCGGTCGAGACGCATTACTGAGTCAGCGCGAGCGTGGTATACACCGACAATATGTCCAACTGCTTCTGACGGACCACGAACACGAGCTGGACCTCTGGTCGTGGGGGGGAGAGCCAATATATAGAGATGGAAACTATTGTGGACAAACAACTACAACTAGCTATGGTTTCACTTTTAAAAAGCAGGTGACTTTACTGACTAACTCTTATGCATTATTATAAGGACAAACTGGAGTCATAAATTATCTTCATATTGGTTATGCCCAGTATTCAAAGTGTCTGGGCTACAGGTAGACACCATAAATACATATATAAACAATCAAGTTTTGGAATTTTTCATGATAGAGAAAGATCATTTTATATAATAACTAAAGAGTTTTGTTTAAAAATGTTTTAGTCAATTGTATTTCATCAACAAGCCTCAAACAAGGCCTGAAATGGACATTTGTTCATTAGTTTTGATTTGTTTAGATGTATATTTCTAAATAAACGAAAACTAAGTCTTGGGTAATATCTAAACATATAGAATTATTCTTCTTGCCTTTAGGTATGTCTCGGATTTGTTCAAAACTTAGACAAGGACGGCGTGCCTCAAAAGGTCACTAATGACTATGTTTTAAGCGGTCATTATGAAATTGATATTGCTGGTATCAGGTAATATACTATATTTTAAGATTTGTTTAAACTATGACCAAGTTATATAACGTTAGATATTTATAGGTACGCTGCCAAAGTAAATCTACACTCCCCACACTTGCCAACAAAATATCCAGATAAAGAACGCGACGTATATCAAGCAACTAGAAGATTACATGACCCCCAGCAGTTTCTGGGTCGACATTATCAACCCTAAAATGGTTATGAAACTTGTTAGCCCTTAGAAGTTTAAGATAAGACATTTTTATTTCAACCAAATAGAATAATTTTGTATATTTATTAAACAATTAATTTTTCAGAATTATGTGAAATGTGTCTTAATGTTATATATATATATTATAATGTTCTAGTTCTTTGTTAATTAGATCTCTTGTGTTATTATTTAAAATAAATACAATCATATTTAATACTTTTTTATTACAATTGATAGAAAAAAATGCCTGTTACCGATTATCTCTACTTAATTTTACTTCTATCACTTAAAACTATTTATAAATTTCTATGTTTAATTTCACAGTTTTGTTTTAATAATAAAAGGTTTCTCTATTTCTGACCACTATGTGTTTATGAAATGCATACTGTTGTTTTACAATAGTTACCCATAAGCACAAAGTCATAACATATGAGATCAAAGGATTTGGAAAAATAAAGTAAACTAGAACTCAATAATGGCTGTGTAGGTACAGGACATTGTGGGTCTCTTCAACTTTGATTTGAATATATCACATGGTGAGGGTGTAGCAAAATCAAATGCCTTGATATCAAATTGAAGTGTTTCCTCCCTGTAGGGGACCGTTACACATCTAAAACGCGATGACATGACTTTTCCAAATGTTGATGGCTTTCCTGCACGGACCATTTTCCTTGTATATGTTTTCATATTTGATTTCTGAGACAGCAAGACCCTTCGAGGGTTTACTTTACTTCTGGATTCTTCAGTAGATTCATCCAACTTCAGTTGAAATAATTTTTCAAATGATTGACTCCTACTTAATTCCTTTTCTTTTTTAATAGGTTTTGGAGGGTTGTATGGTGTTTGTAAGGCCTGCATTAAATCAATTACAAACGTATCATCTTTCTTATTCTCCACTTTTGGCGTATTATTTAACAACATTTTTCTCTCCTCTTCTTGCTTTTTCTTTTCTTTAGCTTTCAGCATATTTGAGACTTGCTCTGCTAAAATATTATGAATGGAACTGGAACCCTTGCTGAATGGTGAGGCAGGTAGTCTTGAACATAAACTTGGTATAATTTGACCCTCTGAGGTAGTGCTGTTGTGCCCATTATTGTGATTTTCGATTGATGATTTATCAGAATTAATGCTTGTTTTAGAGAGATGGCTATCCACTAGTGCGAATAACGATGTATATTCAGCAGAATTTGCCATTTCACAAAGTAAAAATATAATTTAGTGTTTTTGTTTTCTGTAGATTAATGGTGTCAATGATATTGCGTGATGTAGAGGACCTATAACCACAGATTTTGTAGAGAATTGTCTAACTTCTATACACCTCTATGGACATCGTCTCGCAAAATGTCAAATTTTTACCGATTTAAAAATAGATTTTTAATTGATACAAGGCCAAATATTATACTTTTTACTGATTCATAAATTATAACACACCTAATATGATTATTTTAATTCGTTATTAATAATATTAATATACCTTTGGACTGGCAATACAAAATAATGTGAACCCGTGCGCCATAGCACAATTGCTTTATCTGTTATTGTCAATGGTGAATAATACAGATAAAATATTGCAAAGTGTAAATAGGTAGCAACTAGCAAGCACAGTGGCATTAATTTGGCGCAAGTATTTAGTAATGAATATTGTTACAAGCTTTAAATTGTTTTAAAATATACAGCAATTAGCTTACCTATAGTATGGGTATGTAGGTATTACGAGTATTCAATTTACGGTTAGCTGTTATGCTTTATTTTCGTCATGTCGAGTTCAAAATATGAACAGCTGTCGGTCAAAACAGATAACGAGGAATGCCTATTTACTAATAAACCCAAAGGAAAATGGTCTGATGTGTGTTTCCAAAAAGGGCTCTTATCACTTGGGCTAATATTATTGTATTTTTCCTTATCCATTGGTCTCACATTTTACCAAAGATGGCTTTTAAAGGTTGGTAAATTTCAAGATTTTTGTGATAGAAATATTACTATTAGATGTGCTTGAAACCCCCAAATTATAACCACAGTGGTCGCATTTATTTTCTAACTCAATATTTAATTGAATTAATAATTATCAGTCTAATGGTTAACATTTACAAACACTTTACAGGATTTTCATTTTCCCCTCACAGTGGTTATGTATCATTTAATTGTGAAATGGATTTTATCTGTATGTGTACGGATGATATTGGAAATAATAACTGGGCAACCGCAACTTATGCTTCCGTTTCTAACTTGCTTAAGATCTGTTGGTCCGACTGGCCTTGCTAGTGGCATTGATGTGGGATTTTCCAACTGGGCTTTGGAGTTAGTCACTATATCTCTATATACAATGACGAAATCTACAACCATCATTTTTATTCTAGGCTTTGCTATACTTCTTGGACTTGAGAAAAAGGTATGTTTACTGATAGTACAGTATGGTGGCAGAAGACTGTAACATCCAAATTGTAGTATATCATTTGTATGCTAATGTAAAGCAATGCAAGTTTAACCATATTGTTTTTAATTAAATGTAGAGTTTATTATATAAATATAATTATTTTCAGTCATGGTCCTTAGTTGGAATTGTCTTGACAATAGCAACTGGACTAATCATGTTTACATACAATGCAACCCAATTTAACTTGATGGGCTTCGACTTCTTGCTTCTTGCATCCTTCGCTGGAGGACTACGTTGGACATTTGCTCAGCTTCTCATGCAGAAATCTAAACTTGGTTTGCATAACCCTGTAGACATGGTGTTCCATGTACAACCTTGGATGTTCCTATCATTGCTCCCATTTATGATTGCCTTTGAAGGTATTTCTTTTTTATAGTATGACATATTAGAATCCTTTAACAATTATTATTAGCAGCTATCTTCTAGCAGTATAGAATACATTTAAATAAAACACTTTAACGGTTCAAAATGCAATATATTAGTTAATTAAGTATAGCATACATTTACAAAGTGAATATTTTTTGTAGGTTTCAAATGCTTTGACAACCTATTGGCTTTGCCGCCTGGAGAACTGGCTCCCACAATGCTCAAAGTGTCTGTGGGTGCTACAATAGCGTTTGCTATGGAAATAAGCGAATTCCTTGTTGTTACATACACATCTAGTCTTACATTATCTATTGCCGGCATTTTTAAGGTAACTATTGTATTTATTTATTTATTTACAGATTACTTATATTAATTCTTCTTATGTATAGTACAGCATTCACACTTTGAAGCTGAGCCAAGTTATTATTTCTTCCAGGAACTTTGTATTCTAGTCTTAGCAGTAGAAGTAAGTGGTGATCAATTGAGTCCGATCAATGTAGTCGGCTTGGTTGTATGCTTATTGGGGATCACTGGCCACATTATTCACAAGGTCTTAGTTATAAAGCGAGTGGCTGGATCAGTCCGTATCCTAGAAGATGATGATTTTGAAACGATAGGTAGAACGAGAGCTCCTAAGTTAAAGGATGACCGCCATGAACCTTTGCTAGAAGACCAGAAGTGGCAAGAGGGGAGCGAGGAAAGCGATATCGACAGTAGTGTTGTCATATACGAAATAGTGCAAAGGAGAGATGGCAGCTAGGACCAATTTACACAGTTCTATGCTGAAGTTTTAAACTTTAGTTACATCCATTTATAAATGGTATTTTTTACTATATACGACAAAGTATAGTCAATATTGCATTTTGTTGTCTTAAACAGCTTCAGTATGTGATATCTAAGGAAATCAACAAAGCCAGATATTGTTCATAAATTTTATACAAATATATGTATACTTAAATATTATTGATAACATGTTATCATGAGATAACATGCTTCATGGAATAAGTTATATTAATTATTTGAGGACATTATGATTAAGGTTTAAACAATGATGCAATTTATCACATAGAAGATTTTCTTTTGACTTCAGAATGTTCACGTTATGAGTTCTTTAAAACATTCCAATATATTATCGATTTTGTAAATTAATTATGAATGATGACAAAAAAGGTTATTTTGTTTAGTGTTTAATTTGCTATTTATTTTAACAGGGTTTAGATTAATTTGCCTATTTGTATGTACATATATTTTGGAATTACAACTATAGTTGTATAAATCATTTCAGCATTAAGTTTTTTTGCCCACTGTGGAGGTGCAAGCAAAAAACTGGCAAGCCTTATATTGTTTATATTTGCACCCAAAGCCTTTCATATTCTAAACCGATACGATATCTACTACTTTTGTATAAGAATTGCGCTCGGAAATAGCCACATATTTGTAGTTTTCTATAAAACTAGACGTAATCACTAGTTAAAATTATATCGATATAAAATTACAAAGCAGGTGGCTTTAAACGCACAGTATTTGTAAGTTAACGTGATTGCAAATATATAATGTATAAATTGTAATTGTCTAAGAAATTGATTGATATAAAATATCAGACTTGGAACACCAATTTTTGTCACTAATCAGAAATTGTATATTTTATACCATTTATACTGTAACGGACGCCTAATATCATTGAGATAAGATATGTATTTATTGTTGTAAAATGTTTGCAATATTTTGTAAATTGTAAAGTTTTACCAAGTTGTTTGTTTTTTCTTTTTTGTAATAGATATTTTAATGTTACTTTGAATGAAAACATGTCTTTCATTTTATCGAGTTTTTCTTATTAGGATAACATATTTTTATTAGTTGATTAAATACACACCGTAATATGTAATATATTTGTATGTATGTATAATTTTTTTTTTGTATTAATAGTAAGTATAGTTTTATCTAACCGTAGCATTAGTAAACATTTAATTTTATAATAGATTTTTATCGTAGACGAAATTAACGAAATTCGGTAAGTTTGGAAAAAAATAAACCATTCTGAACAACGTAAAATTAAGATTCATATACAAAGCTATTTTTGCTACAACTGCTTGTACCTTGAGGCTCCCCGAATGTGCTCTTAGCGCTGGTTCCATATTTTATACTTAATGTTTTATATACGAAATCCTGTAGCATTTATGTATTTATATAAATTAAAATAAAACATTCATTAATAAAATTTACTAACGTTTTTCTCTTTACAAACACATTTAATATAAACAGAATGTTACTAAGAATTGTTAACAGCGATTAAAAATGGTATCATTAGTAATGAGAATCGCAATGAACTAGGTAATTGATATAAACTATTTTTTTCGATAAATTAGATAATGACTTTGTAATGTGTTTGAATTTTAATTTCTCAGATCCATTGCGAGGCTCAATTCAGAGGGGGTGTTCACGTTAAGTTGACCGCTCAATCTAAACAGACGACCGTTAAGAGAAGTAGCAGCTTCCATTTTCCGTAAAAAGACATTTTTGCAACTGGTATTCAGCGTTCTCTCAGTCAGCGTTTTATTTGAATCCGAATCTAAAGAATTGATAATCGAGTCGGCATCTGTATTCAAATTTATGATGTTCGTTTGAGACTCCTCACGCCAGAGCTTCTGCAGGTTCAAGGCCATTAATTCTAATTGTACTTGTGATAATTCTCTGATCACGTCAATTTGAACTGACATTGCATTGTCACAAGTTTTTAATAAAGAATTTAAAGCCTCCAAAACGTCAGACCTCCTTTTTTGAATACTGTACTGGTTGTCGATGTTTCTCTCAAAGAATGCGAGATGCTCATAAAGTTCAGCCAGCTGAAGAGAACACGATATGTATTGAGCAGAATGTTGCTCGAAGTCGTAATAATGTTTGGCTCTCATTAACCACTTATGGGTGAATGCAAAAAGTTTTCGCGCGTCTTCAGGTGTTTTAATCGTTTCTAACGGAACTCTGCACTCAGTATCTTTTAGCTCCAAAGACGGAAAATTAAAAACATTGTCAGAGGAACAATCTCCATTGCCATTTTTCTCTGCCCCCAAGTCCTTAAGATTTTCATCGGGAACTTTCGTTTCGTCGTGCTCATCGAAAATATTCATGGATTTCCAAAGATCAGCTTTAGACGACGGTTGCGTAAAGAATTTGTTTAAGATATTCTTTCGCGACAACTTAAACAGTGCCAAACCATATTTAACCCAATGGTGACTCAATTCAAGAAAGTGAATTTCAAAGTCTGCTTTTTGGAGAACAAATTCTTCTGGCATCAATTTACAGTTATCATGGCAAGTACGTAGAACATGATAGGCGGCGCATAAATGGTGTCTGGCGTGGCCTAGTTGATTTAGGTAGGTGAAAAAATTTCCAAGCCTAGCAGCTCTAAGGGCCCAATCTTGAGGAGTGCCCTCTTTCATTTCCAATTGCCGTCGAAGTGCCGTATGGTTGTAAAGCGTGTACTTGTCGGGCAAATTAAGTTTATTGTATAGAAATGCTTGCATTTGAATATTATTAGTTATAACTTTGTCGATTTTCTCGGGGCTTATCCGTCTAACGGTGTTTATATCTTCAATGGAGAATAGATCTTCGGCATCCAAAAACTTATCGGGTTTAGAGTCGTTAATTTTTTCGTACAGCTCTTCTATGCCTTCCAGGATGTCTCTCGCGGAAGACGTTTGATCCAACTGTATGAGATAATAACACAGTAGATTTTGGATTCTGAGCAGTACAAAAAGACACTCCTCCCGAAATGCATACGGTTTAATTTTGTCGAAGACAGTTTGTAATATGTTCCGCTTCTCTATTAACGATATCGGCATCGTTTTTGCAGTTAATAATGCTAGGTAGCCCTCCATCGCTAAGGATCTAATGAACATATCCTGATTTTCTTTGCCCAAGATATTGAGTTCGCTTTGCAAGTATTGGATGTCTTTCTTCAAATTTTGAAGTCGTTCACATGAATGTTTGTTTTTAACTGTGTTCTTTAAGTTATCAAAAGTACGCGCAATACGAGCCAACACTGGGTCGCTATCCGTAATCATCTCTTGAAATTAATTTGTAAGATTATCCGAAATATTTACTTGAATTTTTTTTACTATTAAAATTTAGGAGCGTTGTTTAGAACAGACGATTTACAGCTGTCATTGCGTTTTATATTTAAATATATACTTTGAATTTAGAACGTATCTGCCAGAGCTCGGTCAATACAGAAGAAATGTAATATAAAAAAAAGCTGTGGTTTACGTTATATAGCCTGCCTTGTTCTGTGATTGTGCCTTCCAAGTACTAATAAAACCAAAAATACACAGTTATTACTACTAAATACTTAATATGTACATATAGAGTTTCAAAATTTTCTTATTAAAAAGAAAAGATAATTTGTTTAAAGAGAATTGGTTATCGCAACACGTGTAGACGTGTGTATGAAGTGCGCAAATAGTATTTACTCGAATCTTACAAAAACAAAGCTTTTATTTTTATTAAATTTATTCGATGTTCATTAAGTAATTTCAATCGCATTATTTCAGTCATCGTAATTTCAATTTCAATACAAATGGTAGTTACATGAATGTGAAGAAGGCATCGACTCAAATGTTCAATAAATAATACACTTACATATCTTTTAAACAGAAATATAAATACGATCGTGAAGTAGATTAAACGAACAGTCGGTTTCAGAAGACTAAATGAAATACGATATAAATCATACCAATTAGAGACAAAAGTAAGAAAATTGTGTATTGAAAGGGAATGTCCATTCTCACTGAGCACTGCAGTGCTATATTCACTTATAGGTAGTGACCAATACAGATATCCAGCATAAAAACAATAGCTTGCATTAGCTTATTTAGATCGGTCACTACGATAGTAAAATTAATTACGACAGTCCTTAAGTACAAACTTACGCTAGCCCTTAAGCGATATGTGAAAAAAAAATTCACAGTAAAAATATTAAAATTACACTAATTGAAAATTACTAACTATTCATTTATCAATTTTAACTTCGTATACATAACACATTGAAAGGTGGGGTAAGACTGCAATATTGTCTAACAAAACGCACAGATTTAAAAATAAACAAAACTTTCTAAGCAGTCTCATTTGAAGAAATACTAATTCCCTATTTATACTAAATCTGCGTCCAGTCGAGATTAGGCAGTGAAGCTGTATCGGTTATAATTATCTGTGCTAAACTAAAAAATTGTAACAATCAATATTGAGAGGTTCAAATGAGGTAGACAGGGTGAAAGAGACAATAATTCAATGTTTTGAATATTATTATAAAAAAAGTATTACAAAAACTTATCCGAGTCACTTACATCTACTAAGATTCTTAAAAATGTATCCCTAAACACCGTAGGTCCCCTTACTAATAATAATTGTTAGAAGGGGCCAAATCTTAATTATTAGACACTTAAGAAAAGTATTATCAAATACCTTACAAATATATCAAAAGCGTGGAAAGATATCTTATACAGGGTGCAGCCAGACTTATCACTGGAAACGTTTTACTTATTATTATTTGTTACCAATAAGAAGATTTCACTAACCAATCTTCTAATAAAATTGCCTATTTAACGGTATTTATTGAAAAACTTTTTTTTATATATTTCACAGCATAAACCAGTCTAATGATCTTAATCTTTAAATATAATTCGCGTCAATTTACAATTTAATTTAATTATTTTTTTTTTGTTCTGCGGCGGGATGAAAGGATGCAACAGCGCGCTTTCCCGTACGTTTTATTGAGTTACATTATACTTTAGAATTGTGTTATATTTGTAAACAGATAACTTTGGCAATGTATGTATAATCATTATTATACAAGTACAGCGCCAGCTGAAAAAATATTTTCGGCTTCTTTTTCACTTTCATTTCATTATTTATTTGGAATGTTTATACGATAGAAAGAAACGTAAAGAAAGTTGCAACTGAACTATATCAGATGTTTATGTTAATTCGAAAAATATCCTGCGCCTAAGCTTCTCAGCTAAAAATTGTTCAGAACCTACCAATTGATAAGTCTGGCATCCTGTATATTAATTATGATATTACAACAGTGTTTCATAGTAAGTACTTTTTCTCCGCCTATAAAATTAAATTGGGAAATTCAAGTCAGACATACGTTCGGAATTTGTTATTTGAAGAGATCCGTAACTCCAAAACGCAAAACACACCGAGTATAAACTATCCTCGTGCACTTAAGGATTAAAAGTCGGTATTGTAGCTAGCTTCTGTTGTACAGCTTCCGTGGAGTTGTCGCATAACAACAAAGTGTGGGAGAAACCCATCGTCACCTGTGTTATATTCAGTCCCTCCATTTTGGTCACTTCTTTGGGTTTAGATGTTGATTTGTGTATATCGCCCAGTCCCTGTTAAAATTAAATTTGTTGAGTATAACTATCAATATATAGAAAAGGTTACATTAAAATTTTACAAGGATTATATTGCATGTATAACGTTTACATCAATTAAAATACTTGACAGAAATGCAGATCTTAAATAATAAATAAACATGCGTTAAAAAAAAGTATGGTACAGAACAAATTTAGTTACTCTCTAAAGTCTAATATTAACTCAATACATTTTAAATGGATTCACAGATTGACACTAGTTTTTTAAATTAAAATTCAATATATATATGTAGAGATTAATATATTATTATAATTGTTATTTTTTATATCTTATGAAATTCTTACCAGTTCCCCATAAGTTGGTGACACACCCCAAGCAATGACAGTGTCATCGGCAGCAATAACCACGGAGGTGTTGCTCGTTCCCACGCTACGAATGGACCAACCTGGAAAGAAATAATTGCTAATTATTTGAGTCAATAAACTTAACACAAGCATCTTTTGCTAAGTTTCAGCCTTTATTATTATAATCCATGAATTGTGCAAATCAATTCTGCTAATGAATATAATTATTCTAATTTATAGCATTTCCGTACTCTTTACCAATCTCAATTTCCCTAAACAAAAATTAATTTCTAGGAATTAAATTATACCAACCAGACAGATCGTGGACCGGCTTTGGATACATGTTGGCCTCTCCGGTGCGCTTGGTTTGACCAAAGAGATAAAGCACACCTGAAAAAAAAAACCGCATGAGAGAAAGACTAAACGGGATCTCTGTTTTGCTTACAATGTGCGTTTTTTTTATTATTATTTATTTTATTTAACTTTTTTTACATTATCATTTTATTTCACACTATGAAACCAGTAAAGAAACTGTCTAGCGGTTTATGCAAACCGGCTTCGGTACCTTACGACATACATCTATAAAAGCTCTTTAAAATCCCCCTGCATCTATTCTGCCAATCCAACAGCATGTCGTGCGTATTACAAGTCGTTCAAGTACAGAGGTAACATGTACTGCCAGGTACGTTTGCCATACGAATTGCTCGTTAACGGCATTTCATACCTGGGTATATAATCAAGTTTCCTTAATTTTTCTGGTCTAGTTCTATACTTGAGCAACGGAACGTTTTCAATTTCTTCACAAAGTATAAAATATTTGACTCTATTGAAAACGTACCTTGCAGTACTCAAACAAACCCTCCTCGCTTCCTATGTATGTACATCGCCCTAATCGATTTAGGTACAATTGCTTTAAGGATACGCACCTGTAGCGAATATATATCTTGTAAAACAGATTTAAATGTTCGTCCAAAGCTACTAAGTCCGTATCCGATAACTGAGTCCGCCAGGGCGTTGTATATGTACACATACACATCATGTTTCCCAATCACTAATAGATTTTATATGAACTGATTCTCTTATGTTACCCCAGAATTGGGACTCTTTAGGCGGTTATTAGACCCTGAAGTCTTTAATGCAATGCTGTTTAACATTCTGCCAAAGAGGATGTAAGTGGCACTGATAGATGGTGATGACTCACCATGTTCGTTTACAGCGAGGCTATAAGTAGAGCCGCAGTGAATAGAGCGTACACCACGGTACTGCGAGTCAAAGAACCTGATCAAACGCGGCACAGCCTCGTCCTTTTGTTCAGCATGTCCGAGGCGGCCAAACCCACCGAAACCCCAGCTGAAGGCCCGCTTTTTAGAATCTATAGCCACCTAAAAACAAATAATTATGTGTTAGTAAGAAATAAGAAAGGAATGTCATGATGAAAGAAGAATGAACCTGGTTTTTGCGCAAAGGAAATGGTCACTAAAGTAAAGATAACAGTATATTTATTGTAGGTATTTATAGTATTAAAAACTAGCATTTTATCATGAACTTACAGTGTGATTATTCCCGCAAGAAAAGTCCACAATGATGACGTCATCAACTAGCGTCATGTGCCCGTCCTTGGACTTCTCAAAGAATAATTCTATCTTCTTAGGTACAGTTTGGAAATGGTAGGATAGTTTTGTGGAAGTCACAAAATATTTGCCGTCAGTGTTGTGACCTGGAATATATGAATATCTATAGGAGTTTATATTTTCTATTAAACAAAACTGTATGTTATATGTAGGTAGGATCTAAGGTTTATTTCTCTATTGAGTAAAAAAACCTTAGATCATATCACCTATAAATGTGAAGTTAAATTTTAGTATGTGATGCTTCTAATTTCTGTGTGGGGAACAGAGGGTAATTTGTCGCCCTGTCCAGTTTTAAATCTCGAGTTTAAATATTTTAAAGAATCCTTGTATTTTAAGTAGAAAATCAAACATTTTGAGATTGAGACTTTTTCTTCAAATATAAAGATAATGGTGGTTTAGTGTTAAAAAGTGAACAAAACTAAAATCTATCTTTGTCTTATCTGTGGACAAGACTACATCAATATGTATATAATATCTACAATAGAGCTAGTGCAAATTATTCCCGATTTCCGTTATGTAGTATGAGAATCATATAAAATGTTTACCTAGTTGACCAAACTCAGGCAAGCCAAATGAATGCAGAACTCCATTGCAATCTAATATCATTGAAAATTCGGCACCACATCCCACTTTCACAATCGGAGCTCCTCTGAAATTATTTTCAATACAAATATTGAACTTCATTATAAGCTACAAATGTGTGCTTAACAAATGTATGTATGTATGACTCTTAACGCCTCCCACACTGCAGTTAGACAATAACAGACAATTCATTTTTACCCAAGTTTAAGGGATTTACATAAGACTTAAAATATGAATGTCATGATCTCTTTTGACCCAAATAAAACTTAAACAACCTAAAAGTAACTCTGACTTAATTCAACCTGTCAGTATATTTAAGAAATAGTTAATTAGTTATAGTTAATATAACAATTGTAATAAAGTCAATCAAAAGTGGGATCTGACAGTATGTCCATTATAATTAAAAGATTAGGTATAAACCGACACCCATTTTTTTTTATCGGTTAAAAACAAAACAACATCTAGACAAGTCTATTCATGTGGGTACTGTATCTGAAACGTCGATCTTAGAAACAGAAAACCTTTAGGCAATCATATTCTCCAATTAATGTAACTGCCTATTGCCCCGTTTTAATTGTTGTAAATAAATAAATAAATAAATTGCATTGAAAACGGTACTCTACAATTAACTGCAGTGTAGACGTACCTTAGATGATAAGAGTTATAGTATAATTTAAAATAACAAGAACATACGTATATTTTATTCTGGTGGGCACAAGTATCTCCGCCGTGGTGTGGCCAAGGCCGCATTGTCCACACTTGTTCTCACCGCATGCGTAAACGGTTCCCGTACCTGCGTATACGCTTTAAATATTACACATTACCTTGATATCAATATCAATACATTAGCATACTGAACAATATTACCATAACCCAAGATCTATAAAAGTTACGTAAATTCAAGTCTCGGGATATTAGCATACTGCATATTTTGCAAACAGCCACATAATGTCTACTAAATCTACAAGTGCGTTTAAAAGTATAGTACAAAAAAAAATATTTATTTTTGTCCTTCAAGCTTTAACCAAGCGAATGCATTGATTTTTAGCAGACAATTGATTAACAGGCTTAAGAGAAACATAGCCCAAAAAGTTATTTCTGAACAAAAAAACTTAATTCTCAAGATAAGGTGTTATATCTTATTTTTAAAAACTTGTTTATGTATCACGGTCATATTTCTCAAAAGTTGTAGGTAAAAAACATTTTTATTTAAACTTAAACAGTCTAGTACCTGTCACAAACAAAGAATGATTTCTGCCTACAGCCGCATGGATAATGTTCAAGCCCTCCAGGGTGGGCACCAATTCTGGGACGTTACGAGTTGTAGTATCTCCGAAACCAAGTTGTCCAAATGTATTGCGTCCTAAAATGTGTCCATTTATTATATTTGTATATAGATTAGTTCTGTTATCCCCTTATGGGGCATAGAGCATAAAGATTTTTCTCTTATAGACAAGTGGATGTTTTATGCAAAATTTAATAACTACAATTAAAGACAAGAGCAATAAAAATTTTTAACTTACTCTGAACTTAAGAACTTACCAAATGTATATGCATTTCCATCTTCAGATATCAAGATGGAGTGACCAGCACTGCAGCCACTTACTATTAGTCGGTACTACAACAAAAATTTTAGTCAACGAGGCACACTCAGAGAAAAGTATGTTATGATATATTTCATAAGAAATCATTGAGTAGGTACACAAATTGGTACTAAACAAAAGTAGACAAAGATCTATATATACCTTTCTATCTGTAAACTTGTGAAAAGTATAGAGATTGGGATGGGTGCGTTTAGTTGGATTACTGTCTCTCTTCGCAACCAAATCCCATGACACATGACCAGCTATCAAAAGTGCTCCCGGGGTCTTGTAAAATGTCTGGAGCAAACCCTGAATCACAAAAAAAATGTCTTTACTTTTCCCTTAAAAGTAACAAAAATATTTACTAAACTAATAACATTTTAAAAAATTATGATATAATTGGTTAGGTAGTAGACATTTTCTATCAAATACTAAATGTTACTAACTTACTTCTCAACATCAACTGGTCTAGCAGAATAATTAAAATCGTCCCATCTGTCTTAAATTATATCTAATCAGTAGTATATTTAAATATATTGAAAAATATTTACCTCAGGTAGTTCCATTGATGGTTCACCAGGTAGAGGCGATGGACTCCTTTGCTTATCTTGTCCTTGTTCCGATGAATCGCTCTCTTCATCATTTGCTACATGCTTTGTTTTGGAGTTGAGTTGGACAGGTATTGACAAACGTCGTTTGCGGCTATTACTAGACATTGTGGAACCTAAAAAAATTGTGACTGTAATTTACCATTACTATCATATTCATCACGTAATAAAACCATAATGATGTTGTTCATTTTTATTTTAATTCCGTTTGAAAAAGTAACAGTTTTTTAAGAATTAACATTAGTACCTATTTGAAAAACAAATATTGAAATATAATATGATCTTACCTTCAAGTCTGAGTTGCTCCAAAAAGCAAGGAAGCTGATGCTATAAGATGAAAGCCAAAAGTCAAAACTAGTAGACGAGAATCTGAAATTAAACTAAATTATAAAATAAAATACAATATGCACACTGCACAAATAAAACTATTTTACAAATGGTTTAAAAATATATTCCACAATGATTATTGTAAAGGATTCAAAAGAACATAAATTGCTCAGACATTTATATAAGAATATTACTAGTAAAAACAATGTAAAAAATAAAATTCATCAATTCCAATAAAGACATTAATAGTTAAAACGTTTGTAACTGATCTAAGAATTACGCTCAGAAGCATGAATGAGAGCATGGATAATAATGATTGTAGTCAGACTTACACAATAATTGTATTTATTTAATAGTTTATTTTGTGTCAATTTTGAATATTTTAGTATTTGGTGTAATCAACATATTCAAACTTTATACAAATTAGTAGTAACACAGAACAGAATATAGCAAAGCCTTTGTTAGGTATCGTGTTATTATAAAGTTTTTCCAGTCTGGATATATATTAAACGCTAGGCGACCTTTGACCGAATCATTCCACTGCGTATGAAATGATACACGAAAGAATTAAAACACGTTTTTTATTGGCGTCCGAATTTGGGACGTGCAGAAGAATTAACAGTTATCAAATATGTATGTTCATTTCGTATTGAACAACTGTTACGTGGGTTTGTGTTGCAAAATAAAAATAAAGCAACGAAATTATTTATGTATTTACAGTCCAAAGCCACCGCCTGCGAGTCAGGTTACGTACCTATCCAAAGCATAGTACAGCCGAACAACGAAATTGACACGTGCATTGTTGCTTTTAAAACCATCAAATCAGTAAAATAAATGCATACAAACGTAAAATTATTGTTATATCCATTTTACGATATAAATAAACAATCATAACTTACCGCTATTAACAATTTCATACGAATCAACCAAGCTTTAACGAAACACTCTTCTGTGAAAAGTTGTCTGATGTCTGCCTGTTACTTATTAGGGATACCGTAAAAAAAAATTGTTATTAACCCATAACAGTACATATTCTTTTAAATAATAAAGCCAAATTGTATCACCAATATTGCCAGTAGTGAGGGAAAAATAGAAATTAGATGACTACTACATTGCTTTGACATTGACATATTTAACCCATTCTGTCAATTGTCACTTCTTTCGGTTCATCAAAGAGCTGTGGTAGTTTTAGTTTAGTTTAGTTATCTGCGAAGTGCGAAGTCTTTCTTTGCTTTGTGGATTGATCCAGGCGGCACGTGCCAATACTATTTTAAAAGGGTTATTTCGTTGGATAAAACCAGTTCATAATGAATTTGCCGTTTGTGCAAAATAATCCAGACTTCCTATATCCAAATTTGATGTCTAATGATACCCCCTATGATGACGATGAAGAGTTAACAAAAATGGAAGAAGAACATCAAAGTTGGGTAAGTTATTGATTTTTAGTTTAGGCATATTAAAATGTAAAGTATGTAAACTATTGTTAGATACACATGCAATCAACTAAAATGCTTTTATTTTAGCTCAAATCATTTTCAAAAAAGCCTGCTAGATCTATTCCTGTTCGAAAGCCTCCCGCTGAACCACGTGTTGAAGAGGCAGAGTCTACAATTCAGCTGCCTCAGATACAAGCTCGTAAGTTTCATATATGTACATCACAATTTATTTGTAACTTTTAAATAAAACACTTAAGCGGCTTAAAACGCGATATATTAGTTTAACTTATTTGAAAATTATTTTTAACTTCGGCCTGACGTTTAGGATGCTTTGAGGCAGGGAGACAAGCAGTTAATGTGTTTTATTTCAGTGTGTACTACTCGCGTAAACTATAGACAATATTTAATATGTAACTTATATATTTTATATTATTATACGCTGTGGCTTAATTATAATAAAATAGCTTAACTTTACTTATGCAAAGTAAAGTTTTAATTTTAATGCTGTAAATTTTATCGTTGATAGATCCTGCCAATATAAGAATAATGCTAAAATTTCAACTTATGAAAATTCCAAGTTTTAAAAAATTTAAATATTTTTAACATTAATTAATAAACTGCCAAAATAATACATTTGTATTATGTAGGTAATAGGTACCAGCATTATTTCCTGCAATTAGATTTTAAACAATATGATTTTAAATGCCATAAATGTCAAATATTTCTGGTAGGCAATAGCATAAAAAATTTATATAATACTTATTTATTATACTGTATATGAGGCCACTAGAGACAGAGTAGCCTAACTCCAATTTTATGACTTGAGTTATTTATATTTTCACAGTCTAAAAATAAAAATGTCTATCAACATGCACTGCCACAGATAATTTTTATAAAAATAATAATACAAAGTAATTTTCGCCTAAGTTAATCATGTTTTTTGTTATTAAGCCACTCTGCCTCTAGCAGACATATTACTTGAACAATATAGTTTTTTCTCATATTTGCAGGATTGATGGCTGATCTAGAATCGTTGCTCAATACTTATGAAAGTGAGCCCCTTGTTTCACCCAATCAAGACAATATCATGGAACAACCAAATGCTGATGACAATCTCATAACAGATAATGATACAGAAGAAATTGAAGCCTCTTGGCCTGATGCTGATCCAGATGAGATCATGGATAATAATTAATAATGTCTCATGATCATCAACCATTTATATTCTTTATATTATCTTTAGATGTCTATTTATTACTTAGGTTTTATCAACCTTTGTTTTGTGATATTTTCATATTTTTTTACAAAAATGTTCTCTTTTTATAGTACTCAATATGCATGAAAAGGTATTTTACTTGTAGTACTAACTACCATTAGGCATGTATACTAAGTATGTTTTTTATGATATTAGTAGTAGATTTAAATAAAACACTTTAACGGTTTAAAACGCGATATATTTGTTAAACTTATTTGAAAATTATTTTTAACTTCGGCCCGACGTTTCGAATAAGTTTAACAAATATTTTTAAACCGTTAAAGTGTTTTATTTAAATGTGTACTACTCGCGTAAACTATTGACAGTATTAGTAGTAGAAATTTGAAATCTGAATCTCGTGTAGCTTATCTATAAAGTAGAACTTTAGCAATAAACTACTTGGAGGTATCACTTTTTAGTATCGTGGTTTACGTTTTACATCATTTGTTGTTTACCATGGGTATTAGGTTCCTATAAGATTGATGCTACCTGATTTTTGTAAGTTTTATTCGAATTTATTTTTGTTTAAGTTTAAAAAAAGTTATACTATAATAAGTTAAGGACAATTCCAAAATTTTAAGTATCCTTTATCATAATAACTTTATAAGATTGATGATGTTAGCATCTACTATTGTCAGTATTATGTTCAAATGAAAATAAAGCATGAAGGAAAATGATTGTTGTTAATATTTTCAAGATTCATCATATAAAACAACCAAGACCATAACAAAATATTTACAAAATTATGGCGGATGACAAACTACAATTTTGTTCTAATCATCTATGAGTTAAAAACATAATACACCACTGAGTCCTTTTGACGACGATCCTTTAGCACCTATATGCAGTTTGATCCCTTTAGGTTCTTCTTCTGGTGGTATTTCCGGTGGTGGTGGTGCGGGTGGACATTCACAATCTACTTTTTTCTTGTTTGACTTTTTCTTATCGTCTTCACATAAGCACAACAGTCGTCTATATTTCTCTTCGTCACTTTGTATTACATAGCTCAGTGCTTCTTCGAAACTCATTTCGGGTTCAGCTGGTCTACGAACTCTGTTTATTTTAAAACCTGAAGTGTTTTGTGTCAAATCGGATTTCATTTTTCTAATTTGTTTCTCATCAATCCAAAGAATTGGGTCGAACTCTTCCTCCAGGGGCGCCGGGGGGCATTCGCAAGTGTGTCTCTTATTTTTCTTCTTCTTTTTCTTGCCGCTATCTTTAAATTCCTCGTAATTAGATCTGAAGCCTTCGTAGTTTGCGTCGTCCAAAGCAGCTGGGTCGCTAAAGTCATTGCTCTTAAGTTTGACGTGCCGTTCACACGGGCATTGCTTTTTCTGATCTTCTTTGCTGCTCGGTTTGCCACATGATAAACAATCCAGACTTTTAGATGAATCTTCAAAGTTGGTTTTTCCTACAATATGAAATACGATACTGTATTAATTGTGATCGCATCGCTAGTTATTGAAGTTGATATCTACAAGTTAGTGTGAAATCACGTTTCCCCTCGTATAGGGGCATAGCGCGAACACATTTCCGTGGCCGTTTCACTGATCCGTTTTATTTACAGGCAAGTAGTTGATCAGACTTCTGTGCCCTCTCCGACCGAAAAAGTTTACTGTCTCCCCGGGATACGAACCCAGGACCTCTCGCGCTAAACGCAATGCTAAGCAACACATTTAACCATTTAGCTACAGAGCTGCTCATAACAACTTACAAGCTAAAGTAATATTGCATTGAAAATGTGGTAAAATTAAAGCGTAGGTACGTACTTATAATTGGTTTGATATTGTTTTTTGTCTCCATAGAATCGGATGTACCGCATCCTGTAGAGATAAGTTCCTTTCCAATTTTTTCTATAATCTCTTTTATTTTGTCAAAGTCGCAATCACATTGTTTTCCATTCGAGTTAGTCGTTGTATTGCTGCTATTTGTTTGATTAGTAAAATTCGGCGTATTTATTGTGTTAGGGCACATTGGCCCCATATGTGGCACATTTGTTACGCTACTCGTGTTAGGTATATTTTTTGGTGTATGACAATCGGAAAAATTACTGCATGGGGGTATTTTGCAAAGTCTTACTGGCGTTTGATTAACGCATAGTTTCCTGGATGTATATACAACATTGGTTTTGGGTATATTGTCGTAATTCTCGTGACTAAAACCTAAAATAAGCCCAAAATTATTGCTCAGCCATTTCCTTGTTTGAACTGAAATTATTTGTACATACATCTTATTCTACCTTAACATACCTTGGGATATCGCATCATTTATAATAAAAGGAGTCACTATTTCAGACACCACCTGTGACTTTTCTGTTTGTTGTCTTTTTCTAAGCGTTTCATTGTTGATGTTAGTGTTTCTGATATCACAACAGCATGGTCGATCTACAGTAGTATCAGTGCTCATCTCTTTGCGCAAGTGTCTTGCTTCTTTGATATAAAAGCTACGCTGCGGAACATTATTTGGTTCATCGAAGGTAGTTGGGGGTATATACCCCTTTTCTTTTTTGTGCGTAGTGGTCCTCCCTTTAGCAGCAATTTTAAAGCCGAGCAATGTATTTTGCCTTCTCTCTGTATCTAAATTTGTATTGTGCATAAGAACTAATACTATGATTAAATATTAAAAAATAAAAGGTATAAGAAAAACTAACGATTTTCAGACCCATAACAAGCTCTGCAGTTTAATGGTTTTTCAGAAAGTTGAATGCATATAGTGGAACTTATTTGCCTTTCATTTAAATTCTTGACAATATCATCTTCAGACGACGTTGGAAGGAGTACATACAAAGACGAAGATTCTCTTATTGTTCGTTCCGACAGCATATTACTTATTACATTTACTAGTTTTTGTCGGGCCTTCGTTCTATTCACATTACAAAACTCTAGTAATTCATTGGAAAGCACATTTTTATTATCATGTTTCAAATTGTGTGCAGATAGTCTGAATATAGCCGGATGAGTACACAACATATCGGAATCTGTTTCGGGATCAAAATTGTTGTTTAGTATCGAAGCGCTCCAATCACTGAAATTGTTTTGATATATCATATTAAAATGCAATAATACTGAAGAATTAAAGTGTAAAAGTTCGTATACTATGTTTACCTTTTATCTCTTCGATAATAATCCTCAGTTATACTTGTATCGGTTATAACTTCGCTGGATCGAATTGAGTTCATGCTTTTTCTTTCAATTAGGTAGGCAGAATTTGATGAGCAATCCGTAACAGAAATGGAGATAATACTTATTGTATTTGATAGTATACTTCTATCAGATGCAGATGAAAAAAAAGATGATCCGATACCATTTAAAAGTATTGGTATATCAACACTTAGCTTTGATTCGTGTAAATCTCCTAGAGATTTAATAAAAATGAAAGTGTCACTTTTACTAAATGTTCTTAAGTGTATATAATCTTTATCATAGTCTGGTACATATTTTCTACGTTTTCCTTTTTCTATGTTGGAGATTTTGGGACCCCGTGTATCATTAACGCGGGGGCCATTTAAAGCGGAACCACTTAAATTACAGGTAATTAGACCACCACTGTTAATCCTCGAGTTACTAACATTGTTTTTAGAACTTATAGAATCACATTCCTTGCTCGTAAAAGAAGGTATTCCGCTTACTTGACCAACCGTGACTTTAATACCTTCGTTATCGGTAAATACTCCGCCTTTCACTCCCGGCACACATTCATCGGGACACGGGCACAAAGACGATATATCTGGTGAAGTTACTCTTATTTTAACGTAACTATGTTTAAATCTTATTTTCTTTCTATCACAACCACAACCACGATCGCAAGTTGTTGTTTTCACAATGTCTTGAAATTCTTCTGTAATGCCGACTTTAGACTTTCCTACGCCGATTTCACTCTTCTTTGCCCTCTCCACGCCAATTTTTTTTGACTTTGTTTTAATTTTTTCTTTTCTTTCTGAAGGAGTTGGTTCAGGAGGAAGCCCAAGAGCCGTTCTAACTTTTTCTATTAAAGCTTTATCGGAAGGTGTTGCTGCTTCAGGCATTGGTAACCCAGCTTCTGCTAGGCCCCTCACAATTCTTTCTTTGTCAGCGGCGGACTTTCCTCTTAAAGGCGTTATTAAACCTTCTGCTTTTGCTTTTTTGAATGCTTCTTTCTTAGATTCTGTAACGGGGACTCCACCGATTTCACCAATTACTTCAGACTTTTTCTTCTTTGGAACACTCTCGCGTATACGTTTGATTAAGTCTTTTTCAGATGGTGTTCTTCCTTCAGGTAAAGGTAAACCCATTTCTGCTTGTTTGGCTAAAATTTTTTCTTTTTGCGCTAAGCTCTTACCCTCAAGTGGGGTAATAATGCCGACTTCCTGCGCTTTGTTGTATTTTTCCCTGATTGATGGTGTTTTTGGCTCAGGAGGTAAGCCCAAATCTTTACGAACTTTGTCTATTATTTTCTTTTCCGATGGCGTTTCTCCTTTTGGTAGAGGAATTCCGTTTTGTGCTAAACCTCTCAGAATTCTTTCTTTTTCAGCTTCTGGCTTTCCACGTATTGGAGTAAGTAAACCTTCTGCTTTTGCCTTACGCATTTTTTCTGACGGAATTGCTGCAACCGGCATGCCCATTTCAGTTTTCACTTTGTCTATTAATTTTTTTTCGGATGCGGTCTTTGGCTCAGGCAAGGGTAATCCTTCTTTAGCCAAACTTCTTAGTATTCGCTCTTTATCTTTATCCGACTTTCCTTCTAAAGGAGTTAGTAAACCAGCTTCTTTTGCTTTTCGTAGTTTTTCTGACGGAATCGCTGCTGCAGGCATGCCCATTTCAGTTTTTACTTTATCTATTAATTTCTTTTCAGACGCAGTTTTAGGTTCAGGCAAAGGTAGTCCTTCTTTGGCTAAGCTTCTCAAAATTCGCTCTTTTTCTTTAGCTGATTTACCTTCCAAAGGAGTTAGTAAACCAGCTTCTTTTGCTTTTCGTAGTTTTTCTGACGGAATCGCTGCTGCAGGCATGCCCATTTCAGTTTTTACTTTATCTATTAATTTCTTATCTGATGCAGTTTTAGGTTCAGGCAAAAGTCCTTCTTTGGCTAAGCTTCTCAAAATTCGCTCTTTTTCTTTAGCTGATTTACCTTCTAATGGAGTTAATAAACCTGTTTCTTTCGCCTTTCGTAATTTTTCAGAGGGGGTTGCTGCTGCGGGCACTCCCATTTCGGTTTTTACTTTTTCGATTAATTTCTTTTCCGAAGCCGTCTTTGGCTCAGGCAAAGGCAATCCTTCCTTAGCTAAACTTTTTAATATCCGCTCCTTGTCTTTAGCTGATTTTCCTTCTAGTGGAGTTAATAAACCTGCTTCTTTTGCTCTTCTTAATTTTTCCGAGGGTACTCTTGTCTTAATAGCCATTTTTTCTGCTTCAGGGGTAAGTATATCGCATATACATTCATCGCTGGGCCCCTTTCCCTCTTTCATTTTCTTTGCAGTTTTTGCATCAAGCTTTTTTAACTCTGCTGGTGGTAGGGGTTTCGATGGTGGTAAAGCTCTTACAGGAGCTAAGGATTTCCTTTTACCCGATTTAATTTGTCTAATTATTGATTTTTCTGAACCTGTTCTACCTTCTGGCAATGGTATTCCCATGTCAGCTTGAGCCTGTAGAATTCTCTCCTTTTCTGGCCTGGATTTACCCTCCAGAGGAACAATGATACCGGCGGCTAATGCTCGGTTGTATTTTTCTTTATCGGCGCTAGTTTTCGGTTCGGGAGGTAAACCTAAATCGTGTCTAACTTTGTTTACGATCTTTTCTTCAGAGGGAGTTTTAGGTTCTGGCAATGGCTTTCCTTGCATGACTAAATCTTTTAACGCTTTTTCTTTCTGTGTAGGCGATAGAGCAAGACCTTTCGATGGATATGCTGCGGCACTCACTCGTTTGGATTTTTCCGGTCGAGGTGTCACATAACCTGTCTCAGCTTTCACTTTTTTTATTAATTCCTTATCAGAAGGTGTAACACCTTCAGGCAAAGGCAATCCTGCTTGAGCTCTACCTCTTAACAATTTCTCCTTTTGCGCTGCCGATTTCCCCTCTAGTGGTGTGATTAAACCTTCTGCCATTGCTTTACGAAGTTTATCTGATGATATACCTTCTAAGGGTATACCCATATCTGCTTTTACCTTTTTTATTAGTTCTTTTTCTGAAGGAGTTTTACCTTCAGGCAATGGCATGCCAGTTTTTGCTAGGCCTTTCAATATTTTTTCCTTTTCTTTTGGCGTTTTTCCTTGCAAAGGTGTTAATAGACCAGCTTCTTTCGCTTTCCGCAATTTTTCCGATGCAACAGGTTTTGCTGAAGTCGCACGTACTTTATTTATGAGATCTTTTTCAGATGGTGTACGACCTTCTGGCAAGGGTATTCCCATTTCTGCTTGTTTTCTTAGAATCTTTTCCTTCTGAGCTGGTGTTTTTCCTTCAAGAGGTGTAATAAAGCCTGAATCTTGTGCTTGACGATATTTTTCTCGTATGGATGGCGATTTTGGTTCTGGAGGCAGTCCTAAGTCTTTCCTAACTTTATCTATAATTTTTTTTTCAGATGGTGTTTTCCCTTTAGGTAGAGGTATTCCGTTAGCGACAAGGCCTTTTAATATTTTTTCTTTCTGAGCATCGGATTTTCCTTGTAAAGGAGTAAGAAGGCCAGCTGCTTTTGCAGCTTTTAATTTTTCTGACGGAATTTTTGTTACTCTGGACTTACTCTTTACTGCTCTTGGTGTAACGTAACCTGTTTCTGCCCTTATTTTTTTTATTAATTCTTTATCTGAAGGTGTTACTCCTTCTGGCAATGGCAAGCCTGCTGCAACTCTCCCTTTTAATATTTTCTCTTTTTGGGCCTGAGGTTTACCTTCTAAAGGTGTTATTAATCCTGCTGCTCTAGCTTTTCGTAGTTTTTCTGATGGTATTCCTTCTACTGGAATACCTAATTCAGTTTTAACTTTATCCATTAATTTCTTCTCCGATGGAGTTTTGGGTTCGGGTAGAGGTAGTCCTTCTTTAGCTAAACTCCTTAAAATTCTTTCTTTTTCTTTAGGAGACTTTCCTTCAAGAGGTGTTAATAAGCCAGCCGCTTTTGCCTTTCGAATTTTCTCCGAGTGCGATGTTGTTGGGGGCATTCCTAATTCTGTTTTAACTTTTTCTATTAACTTTTTTTCAGAGGCGGTTTTTGGCTCGGGCAAAGGCAAACCCTCTTTCGCTAAACTTCTTAATATTTTCTCTTTTTCTTTTGGGGATATACCTTCGAGTGGTGTTAATAAACCAGTGGCTTTAGCTTTACGTAATTTTTCAGAGGGGGTTGCTGCAGCGGGCACTCCCATTTCGGTTTTTACTTTTTCGATTAATTTCTTTTCCGAAGCCGTCTTTGGCTCAGGCAAAGGCAATCCTTCCTTAGCTAAACTTTTTAATATCCGCTCCTTGTCTTTAGCTGATTTTCCTTCTAGTGGAGTTAATAACCCTGCTTCTTTTGCTCTTTTTATTTTTTCTGAGGGTACTCTTGACTTAATAGCCATTTTTTCTGCTTCAGGGGTAAGTATATCGCATATACATTCATCGCTGGGCCCCTTTCCCTCTTTCATTTTCTTTGCAGTTTTTGCATCAAGCTTTTTTAACTCTGCTGGTGGTAGGGGTTTCGATGGTGGTAAAGCTCTTACAGGAGCTAAGGATTTCCTTTTACCCGATTTAATTTGTCTAATTATTGATTTTTCTGAACCTGTTCTACCTTCTGGCAATGGGATTCCCATGTCAGCTTGAGCCTGTAGAATTCTCTCCTTTTCTGGCCTGGACTTACCCTCCAGAGGAACAATGATACCGGCGGCTAATGCTCGGTTGTATTTTTCTTTATCGGCGCTAGTTTTCGGTTCAGGAGGTAAACCTAAATCTTGTCTCACTTTGCTTAATATCTTCTCTTCCGATGGACTACGAGCTTCTGGTAGAGGCCTTCCTTGCATCGCTAGGTTTTTGAATGTTTTTTCCTTCTCAGCTGGAGGTAACCCTCTTGCAGTTGGTTCTTCTTCTAGCGCAGCGGCCGGTGGAGTTGCTTTTTTTACTTTAGCTACTAGAGCTTTTTCAGAAGCTGTTCGTCCCTCGGGCAGAGGTAAACCCATGGCAGCTTGTTTTCTTAGTATTTCTTCTTTCTGGGCTGGGCTTTTGCCTTCTAAAGGAGTTATAATTCCCGCAGCTAAAGCTTTGTTGTAATTACTCTTTTCTGATGCTGTTTTTGGCTCTGGTGGTAAACCAAGATCTGCTCTGACTTTATCAATCAGTTTTCGTTCTGAATCAGACTTTCCTTCGGGAAGAGGAATGCCATGTTTTGCTAAACCCTTAAGTATTTCTTCTTTCCGTTTAGGTGTCTTACCTTCTAGCGGTGTCAATAATCCTGCAGCCTTGGCTTTTTTTATTTTTTCGGGTGAAACTCCCACTTCTAACGGGGAAGGAGCAGTCTGTTGAACTTTAGCAATAAGAGCTTTTTCCGAAGGAGTTCGTCCTTGTGGCAATGGTAATCCCATAGCTGCTTGCTTTCTTAATATATCTTCTTTTTGTGCCGGAGTTTTACCCTCTAATGGAGTTATTACTCCTGCAGCTAAGGCTTTTTTGTACTTATTTTTGTCTGCTGATGTTTTCGGTTCTGGAGGTAAGCCGAGATCGTTTCTGACTTTATCGATTAGTTTTTGATCCGAATCGGTTTTTCCATGTGGAAGAGGTATACCATTCATTGCCAGTCCTCTTAGTATATCTTCTTTTTGTTTCGGCGTCTTACCTTCTAAAGGAGTAAGTAAACCTGCAGCTTTAGCTTTTCTTAGTTTTGCTGATGGCACCCTCATTTCTGAAGGTGGAGGAGCAGCAGCAGCAGTCTGCTGTACTTTTGCAATGAGAGCTTTTTCTGAAGGTGTTCGTCCCTGTGGAAGAGGTAACCCCATCGCTGCTTGCTTTCGTAATATATCTTCTTTTTGTGCCGGTGTTTTACCCTCTAATGGAGTTATTACGCCTGCAGCTAAGGCTTTGTTGTAATTACTCTTTTCTGATGCTGTTTTTGGCTCTGGTGGTAAACCAAGATCTGCTCTCACTTTATCTATAAGTTTTCGCTCAGAATCGGATTTTCCTTCTGGAAGAGGAATACCTTGCATAGCTAATCCTTTAAGTATTTCTTCTTTGCGTTTAGAAGATTTACCCTCCAAAGGGGTCAGTAAACCTGCAGCTTTCGCTTTTTTCATTTTTTCTGACGGAACTCTGAAAACTCCTGAAGGAGGCCGAGGTTCTTGTTGTATCTTGGCTATAAGAGCTTTCTCGGATGCTGTTCGTCCTTGTGGCAATGGCAACCCCATCGCTGCTTGCTTTCGTAATATATCTTCTTTTTGTGCCGGTGTTTTACCCTCTAATGGAGTTATTACTCCTGCAGCTAAGGCTTTTTTGTACTTATTTTTGTCTGCTGATGTTTTCGGTTCTGGAGGTAAGCCGAGATCGTTTCTGATTTTATCGATTAGTTTTTGATCCGAATCGGTTTTTCCATGTGGAAGAGGTATACCATTCATTGCCAGTCCTCTTAGTATATCTTCTTTTTGTTTCGGCGTCTTACCTTCTAAAGGAGTAAGTAAACCTGCAGCTTTAGCTTTTCTTAGTTTTGCTGATGGCACCCTCATTTCTGAAGGTGGAGGAGCAGCAGCAGCAGTCTGCTGTACTTTTGCAATGAGAGCTTTTTCTGAAGGTGTTCGTCCCTGTGGAAGTGGTAACCCCATCGCTGCTTGCTTTCGTAATATATCTTCTTTTTGTGTCGGTGTTTTACCCTCTAATGGAGTTATTACGCCTGCAGCTAAGGCTTTGTTGTAATTACTCTTTTCTGATGCTGTTTTTGGCTCTGGCGGTAAACCAAGATCTGCTCTGACTTTATCAATCAGTTTTCGTTCTGAATCAGACTTTCCTTCGGGAAGAGGAATGCCATGTTTTGCTAAACCCTTAAGTATTTCTTCTTTCCGTTTAGGTGTCTTACCTTCTAGCGGTGTCAATAATCCTGCAGCCTTGGCTTTTTTTATTTTCTCGGGTGAAACTCCCACTTCTAACGGGGAAGGAGCAGTCTGTTGAACTTTAGCAATAAGAGCTTTTTCCGAAGGAGTTCGTCCTTGTGGCAATGGTAATCCCATAGCTGCTTGCTTTCTTAATATATCTTCTTTTTGTGCCGGTGTTTTACCCTCTAATGGAGTTATTACGCCTGCAGCTAAAGCTTTGTTGTAATTACTTTTTTCTGATGCTGTTTTTGGCTCTGGTGGTAAACCAAGATCTGCTCTGACTTTATCAATCAGTTTTCGTTCTGAATCAGACTTTCCTTCGGGAAGAGGAATGCCATGTTTTGCTAAACCCTTAAGTATTTCTTCTTTCCGTTTAGGTGTCTTACCTTCTAGCGGTGTCAATAATCCTGCAGCCTTGGCTTTTTTTATTTTCTCGGGTGAAACTCCCACTTCTAACGGGGAAGGAGCAGTCTGTTGAACTTTAGCAATAAGAGCTTTTTCCGAAGGAGTTCGTCCTTGTGGCAATGGTAATCCCATAGCTGCTTGCTTTCTTAATATATCTTCTTTTTGTGCCGGTGTTTTACCCTCTAATGGAGTTATTACGCCTGCAGCTAAAGCCTTGTTGTAATTACTTTTTTCGGATGCTGTTTTTGGTTCTGGTGGTAAACCAAGATCTGCTCTGACTTTATCAATCAGTTTTCGCTCGGAATCGGATTTTCCCTCCGGAAGAGGAATACCATGCATTGCTAAGCCTTTAAGTATTTCTTCTTTACGTTTAGGTGGCTTTCCTTCAAGTGGTGTCAATAACCCTGCAGCCTTAGCTTTTTTAATTTTTTCTGATGGAACTTTTAAGACTTCTGATGGTAGGGGGGGTTCTTGTTTAATTTTGGCAATAATAGCTTTTTCTGATGCTGTTCTTCCTTCTGGCAAAGGTAAACCCATTGCTGCTTGTTTTCTAAGTATATCTTCCTTTCGGGCTGGGGTTTTCCCCTCTAAGGGGGTAATTATACCAGCAGCTAATGCTTGATTATACTTCTTTTTATCGGCTGCAGTCTTTGGCTCAGGAGGCAAGCCAAGGTCGGCTCGGATTTTATTAATTAATTTTCGGTCTGAATCGGATTTCCCTTCTGGAAGAGGAATACCATGCATGGCTAACCCTCGAAGAATTTCTTCTTTTTGTTTTGGTGTCTTGCCTTCTAATGGTGTAAGTAATCCTGCAGCTTTAGCTTTTTTAATTTTTTCAGATGGAACTTTTACTGCAGCTGATATAGAAGGTCGGGCACCCGTTGTCTTTTGAATCTTGGCTATAAGAGATTTCTCAGAAGCAGTACGTCCTTTAGGGAGCGGTAAACCCATTGCTGCTTGTTTTCTTAATAGGTCTTCTTTTTCTGGTCGACTTTTCCCCTCAAGTGGAACTATTAAACCAGCTGCTAGGGCTTTTTTGTAATTCTTTTTATCACTTGCAGTTTGAGGCTCTGGAGGAAGTCCAAGATCATCTCGGACTTTGTTAATTAATTTTCGTTCAGAATCACTTTTTCCTTTCGGAAGAGGTATACCATTCATTGCAAGTCCTTTCAGTATTTTTTCTTTTTGTTCGGGACTCTTACCCTCTAGAGGTGTCAATAAACCTTCTTTTTTAGCCTTACGTATTTTTTCAGAAGGAACACCGACGGAGGCCGATTTAGTGCCTGCTGATTTTATTTTTTCAATTAATGCTTTTTCTGAAGGGGTACGTCCTTCAGGCAATGGTAGACCCATGTCTCTTTGTCTTTCCAGAATTTTTGCTTTTTGTGCCTTTGTTTTACCTTCTAATGGTGTTATAAGCCCTTCTGCCTCCGCTTTCTTATACAATTCTTTTTCCGATTTAGTGCGAGGCTCAGGTGGAAGAGCTAGTTGAGTTTTTACTTTTGCAATCAGATCCTTTTCAGATTGTGTTTTAGCTTCGGGTATGGCGCCACCAGATACTATAATTTTTTTTAAAGCGGCTTCTTTTTCCTCTGGGGTTTTAGCCTCTTTTAATGCTAAAAGATCTTTGCTTTTGCCTTTTTTCTTCTTTATGCTTTTGGCTTTAACACTTACTGCTGCTAACATTCCAGATTTTCGTTGCTCACCCAAACGCCTTTCTTCCCTTGGTAGGTGTCCACACAGAATGCAGTTACAATGGTCACAATTTTTTTTCTTATAACAGTCGTAAAGACTTTTCATGACCTCAAACATAGCATCGGAATTACATGAGCAGCAACAGCTCTCTTCTGGCGTGCTGAATTGACATCTATATACATCCCACTTACCACAAGAAAATTGAATTGGCCTATCTCGAGCTGAAACAGTACGTTTCCTGTTGTGTTTATAACCATATATGTCTTGGTGAGATATTGATGTTTTCGAAGAGATTAGGTTTTCATTGTAAGTAAAATTCAGTAACGGGGTACTGTATTGCTTACTAAATTGAATGGTATTCATCGCAGGTGATCGGTGCTTTTTTTTCCTATGCACAATTACAGTAACATCGTTTAGTGTTCTGTAAATCTTCTGACGGTTGTAAAATGATTTACTTAAAACTATCTTTGGATTCTGCTCCTCATTAAAAGAGCAAGATTTTTTAAAATAGTTCTTGCTTATAGCTTGGGTACTAGAATTTTTAGGTCGCTTATAATGCATTATATATTTTATTTCCTTGTCATCCGCCATGGTCGTTATCTAGAATAAGAGCAATCTAATTAAATACAGACCCTGACACAATATATATTCTTATAAGTATATTTTTCATGTTATATCTAAAATCCAAAGACAATACAAACTTTATGAAACATTAATAACATCGAATTTTAAACTATACTATATGATATGCCTATAATAAATTAAATCCTTTCAAGAACATTTATTATAGGATCACAGAGAAAATGTCTTATGTCATAGCATGCGACATTTCAAAATCGAGTTTTTATAATAAAGATAAATAGAAAACGAATGTTGACTTCATTTTACTCTTTTTGTTTATGTTTGGCGTGATATGCGACCGCTAGAGGCAGAGTAGCCTAACTGCAATTTTATGACTCGATTTAGTTATATTTTCATAGTCTAAAAATGTTAACAAGAGCAGATTGGCCAAAAATTGTTAACATAATTTTACACAAATAATAGTACAAATTCATTTTCGCCTAAGTTATAGTTATATATATTATATTTCAGCATCATACATCATCGCCTGATTACTATCTGGCATAAGTTTCGTTATTATTAAACATTTATATCAACGGAAGCTAGGCCTTTGATCTTTCATTAAGCTTTACCGTTGTCCGTATCAATAGGTACTAGTTCTGCTATAGAATACAATGTTTTGTGAGGACGTCTATGCCTATCAATTAGATATCTGTTTGAATGCAATTTGTAATGTAGGTGCTAGGTACATCTAACAACTCCTTTCTTTCAGTGTATTCACGTACCTTGTAGTGATTTTATTTACATATCCACGGCATATACAATTTTAAAAATATACATATAATCCCCCTTTATCATATATAAATAATGGGGATTATAAATGAGTGTTTATGATTTCACATTTTTCATTGTTTTTTGTTATATTTTTTTAATAAAATAAATGTAAATAAACAACAAAAGAAAATTTATACAATCGAATTTTGTATTGAATGATCTGTCAATTTTCAGAATAGTCGTTGCCTTTTTTTTATTATTCTTTCCCTCCATTTGGCCAGTACACATTCATATTATAACGGCTTCGGGAGGTAAGTCATATACTGTTATGCAACAAAACAGACTGACACTGCTTTTAAAATGTCTCCAGTATTAAATTAAATGAGTAGTTACCGTCCACAGGTAATAAAGCCGTCAAATTTAATCGCATTTCGGTTGCAATCTGTGGATTTCCTAACCCAAAACCTAAATATGTCGACAACACATTTTGTATAGATATATGGCCGGGGTGTTTTACCTATTATCAAATGAAGTCCATGATTGTCTATCCTTCTCTATCATAGAAAAAAGTATATTAAACTTACCTTTGTTATTTACTTTAGTATTTCTGGTTGAATGCAGTTATAGTTATGTTTAGTTATATAGAGATAATAACATCCCTCTGAGCATAAAAGTACTAGTTTTAAGAAGTAAGCGTTTTTAATACTTTTTGGTTTCAAGTTTATCTTCTGTGGATTTTATTTCAATGCTATTCTTTCAGATTATCTTGTTTTCAATAATCTCAAAATTCAATAGTTGCGTAACCGAAATATAGCCAAAAACAGTAATGCTAACAAATATAAAATGATATGCAATAATGTATTGTTTGTGTGGTGGAATCCAGGAAAATTCATGTAACTGTTTTGTGTGGACAAACGTTTGTAACACAGATAGTAATGATGCCAACATTGTATTTGTACCGAAACATAGCACTGCTACCACTTTGCAAGAAAGCAATACTTTTAGAAGTATGTTCTATAAAGCTATCAATGCATGCGTCGGATACAACATGAGGTATTTAAATAAGACTTATTTTCCCAAGACAGTTTCGGACATGGTAGATTAAGCAACATTAGAACATTTAAATAAAACCATTTGAATGGTTTAAAACGCGAAATATGTTAACAAATTTTTACTTTAACTACAGCCCAACGTTCCGGATGCTTTGCAACAATCCTAGTTAAGGGGGCCGTAAACGTCGTTCCATAGTTAGTTAGAAGAAAAATAAATTTATTTATTTACTTCGTGTCTTAAACCGTTATATATTTAGTGTGTAAACGTAATTACACTAGGCTACTTCTGCCAAGTATCCAATTTTTTCGGAATTAAGCCTTGATATTTTTTGTTTTAGATACTGCGGATTTGGAGAGAGATACCAGAACGAGAGAATATTAAAAAATACTCTGACTGATATAGTTCTTCTGTTATGTTTCCTTCTGGCCAACACTGTGGTACTGCTAACACTTTTAACAAGAACTACATATCACATTTTGCACGTATTACTGCGATCTTTTAAGTGGGTACAAAGGTATAACATATTTTATATACTCCCTAACATTAATAATATAAATAAAGCAGACACTTTGGTGTAAGTAAAATGTTAGTAAAACTGCCTATAAAGATGCCGTGTACCGTGAAAGTGAATACTTTTTTCATATATTTACAAAATTAACAAACCCACGAATTGAATCGGGACAATAGGCTATGCAATACGTAAACAAATAAGCCACGAAGGCACATAATAATCTCAACGTTATCTTATAAGTTTTTTTATTTGTTCTAGTTGTGTTTCAAACGAACCAAGACGACTCGTTGCAACAGCTGAGACGAGTATTTCAAATAGAAGATACTCAACAGAAACTTTTGTGTCAAGATTAAGCAAGTGAAAATTTTAAGTTTCCACATCTTTTACCAATTTTGAATAAATATTCTTACCGTTATTTTCGTCTTACTTAATTCATCATATCTTTCATAAGAGATAGATAAAATTATATCTTGTGTGATAGTCATTAATACTTTTGTCACCATTTAAGATGTTAGTCTGCTTCGGTATTTTTTATGAGAAAGTACACTTGAAGATGGAATACATCAGCCATATAACATCTCAACGAGATGAGCTGCTGGCCTATTTTTTCTTTTATATCGCGGAATAAGTCTTTTTTTAACGCGGATCAAGATGTACAATTTTCTATTGAGTAACATTTTTATTAAAAGAAATATTATATATAATACAACTAGTGAATAAAATGTTTTAATTACCATTAAAACTTAAATAAAATACTTTAACGGTTTAAAACGCGATATATTAGTTAAACTTCAGCACGTAGTCTCCCCGTGACCACGGCTGCTGCAAAGCATCTGAAACGTCGGGCCGAAGTTAAAAATCATTTTCAAATAAGTTTAACTAATATATCGCGTTTTAAACCGTTAAAGTGTTTTATTTAAATGTGTACTACTCGCGTAAACTAGTAGACAGCGTAGACAGTATTTACCATTAAAACTTTTTTCTGAATTTTATTTATAAAAGTTTAATTTTAAATTAAGAACGAAACTTCCGAAACATTTGTTCCAGATCCTTTCAAAGGTTAAGTCTATAGTGAGCAGTCGAAGTGCAAACACGCCTACGAATTTACTTTAAGATTATAAATTGTAATTAACTTCTAAAATATGCGTGAATGCATATCCATACATGGTGGACAAGCGGGAGTTCAAATAGGAAACGCTTGCTGGGAATTATATTGCCTGGAACATGGAATTCAACCGGATGGCCAGATGCCCTCGGACAAGACGGTCGGCGGAGGAGATGATTCCTTTAACACATTCTTTAGCGAGACCGGAGCTGGTAAACATGTCCCAAGAGCAGTTTTTATAGATCTAGAACCGACTGTGGTCGACGAAGTGCGAACTGGGACATACCGACAGCTCTTCCACCCAGAACAGCTGATCACCGGTAAAGAAGACGCCGCCAATAACTACGCTAGAGGCCATTACACGATCGGTAAAGAAATAGTAGACTTAGTTTTGGATAGAGTACGAAAATTGGCTGACCAATGTACGGGGCTTCAAGGTTTTCTCATTTTTCATTCCTTTGGAGGCGGCACTGGCTCTGGCTTTGCTTCCCTTCTCATGGAGCGCTTGTCTGTAGACTACGGAAAGAAATCGAAACTGGAATTTGCTATTTACCCGGCCCCCCAGATATCAACTGCAGTAGTAGAACCATATAATTCCATATTAACTACTCACACGACTCTAGAGCATTCGGATGCCGCGTTTATGGTAGACAATGAAGCTATTTACGATATCTGCAGAAGAAATTTGGACATTGAAAGACCGACGTATACTAATTTGAATCGTTTGATTGGACAAATCGTATCATCTATTACGGCTTCTTTAAGATTTGACGGCGCGCTGAACGTGGATTTGACTGAATTTCAAACCAATCTAGTGCCTTATCCCCGCATTCACTTCCCTTTAGTCACTTATGCCCCTGTAATATCCGCGGAAAAAGCTTATCACGAACAGCTGTCGGTAGCTGAGATTACGAATGCCTGTTTCGAGCCGGCTAATCAGATGGTGAAGTGCGACCCCAGACATGGAAAGTACATGGCCTGCTGCATGCTGTACCGAGGGGACGTTGTTCCTAAGGACGTGAATGCTGCGATTGGAACAATAAAAACTAAGCGAACCATACAATTTGTCGACTGGTGTCCCACTGGGTTCAAAGTTGGAATCAATTATCAGCCGCCGACAGTTGTGCCTGGCGGTGATCTGGCTAAAGTCCAACGGGCCGTGTGTATGTTGTCCAACACAACTGCTATCGCCGAAGCCTGGTCCCGGTTGAACCATAAATTTGACTTAATGTATGCTAAAAGAGCTTTTGTTCATTGGTACGTCGGTGAGGGAATGGAGGAAGGAGAGTTCTCGGAGGCTCGCGAAGATTTAGCTGCCTTAGAAAAGGATTACGAAGAAGTCGGAATGGACTCTGGTGAGGGCGAAGGTGAAGGCGGCGAAGAGTACTAACTTTATACCTAATTTTATTTTAGTATTTTTCATAGGCTTTTTAAAACATTTGTATCTTTACCCGTTTGGTTTAATAAATTGAAATTTACAAGTTGTATAGTATTTAATTTTACACTAGACAAAATTGTGCTAGTAAGTGCTAATACCGAATGTGTTTATATACCCAGTTAGAACATTTACAGCTCCATCCGCAAACAATTCGACTCATGAATGCTTCCTTAATGCGACATGACGCAGCAGTATAGTGCCGCAAACACACAATGTATTATAAAAACAATTTTTTTATCACTAAATTTAAATTATATAATAGTGACTATGGTTACTAGTGTACACCTAGCTTAACTCTCAGGATGCGGAAAGTGGAACTGGCCATCGGGATGAGGTGAAAGAAAACACGTTCGTATTTTCCATGTTTTTATAACAAGTATTAGTTCCAATAAAATTTTACAAGTTTTTTTGTACAAGTACGGGGTAATCTCCGTGATGAAACATAAAAAAATTCAGATAGTCGTGGCAATAACTGGATAGTGCGTAAAATAGTTTTAGGGTTATAAGTAGTTTACTAGCGATGGGGCTTGGCTCCCGTTTGATCCGCCGATCCGTGCGTCCTGCATCCATTACGACTGGCTACTACCTATCTCACGAGTATATTTGGGTGACGACCTACTAAAATACATTCTTGGGTTCTCAAGCTATAGCTTAAACAGAATATACATTAAATAAAGCTGCACATAGCAATGTAATTGACGTCGCTAACTATATACAGAGCTTTATCACCCTAGACTTTTTGCATGACAAAATCAAACACAATATCGAAAGCTTAAAATATTTACACTTATACTCTTCCGGAAGAACAATCGTTAACTGGAAGTATGGATAGTCCAGGTATTGTTTTACTTTTCTTACTCAATATAAATTTCCTTAAACATAGGCCTTGTTCTTTCGGTTTAAACATAACTAACACAACGGCCTTACAAGTTTAAAGAAAACATTCGAAATAAATGTACTCGTATGGTCACAATTGAGTTGTGCGCAAGAGTTTGAATTATTTTATCAGTTTTATATTGTAGATATTCGTAATTGTAATGAGCATAGGCATCTTGTGCGAGAACGTGCGTAATAATTGATCTATAGTATAAGATATAAGAAATACACTTCCCAGAAAAGGGAGTTATCTGTGCGTTATTCTTTGGCATCAAAAAAGAAACATTGAGTGGAGTAAATGTCTGAATGATTTTAATATAAACGAGTGTAAAAATAAACTTAAAAAAGTATTAATAAATAATTTGTCTTTATAAAATCTTAACTTACGAAGCACTTTGTACATAATCATAGCCAGCAAATCCTTTCGGAAACCTAAGAACGACATTTTTAATTTTATAACTTAAACTTGGAAAACTTCTCTATGAATAATGTACATTCACTCACAGATAAAGACGAACACAGACCAGTTTATTTACCAATTATAAATGTTTGCGGCCAGTCATCCTAAAGACGCATCTTGTCACACACTTAGGCCGTGTTACCGTTACTGACCACGACAGGCGTTCTGAGCCCACAAGTCTCTTGAATTGAGCAGTTACCAGACACACGGATGGGCAGTCATCGACTATAACCCTGTAGTAACTAGTGAACCCTAGCTAATAAATAATGAAACATTCTTGTTCTCTAGGGGCGTACTAGATAAAAGCTTTACATACTTAAACGTTTTTCACAAGTTGTATATCTTACCATACTCTATATTATTTTCGTCAATCAAAATTAATACGATTTATTATTATCTCTTAAAGCTACAACTTAAAAAAATGCTACATGCACGTGATAAACTTTTAAACAATAATATCATCCACATGAATAACAAAACAAAAACAATCAGGTTTCAAACAATAGGTATTCAATAAAATGTTATCTTTTTCTCTATTCAATTCCCGCAACTGCAATAAATTATTCCCACCGACCAGAATAATATTTTATTTATAATTATTTATATTGTTATTACAATATTTATAATTATTTTTGCCATTTTAGATATGACTTTAATTTACTAATTAGTATAACAATAATTGTAATCATGAGCAAAAGGAGAATAAAAACATTCGTAAAATTATATAATTATTTATAAAAAACAACAATATGTAATAATAATATATATTATGTCACAGCATGTACTTGGAGTATGACATGACAATACCACTGGAGTAAATGAATAAAGAATAAAATAAAAACATTTCAATTAAAACAGCCAGTTTTTGTACCTTTCCACTTTAACCAAGTATTATAGAAAATCTATACTGAAAAATGTGTAACTAAAACTTCCTCTAATATGTTTGCAAGATCACAATCTTAGTGGCATAGTCATGGGACACTCCTTAATATTTGTACACCTGTGACATCAATAATAATTGTTTATCGTTTTCGTAAGCTTGCGCTAGAGCACCGGCAGGTACTATAAGAAACGAGATTAGCATAATGCAGAGATTTCAACATGTTTGTTGAAAATCGAACCTACTCTTCAGTTTTGTAGTGACCGCTAGACAAAGGGTCCCGTCAAAATTTAATTGCCGCCATTTTCAATCCTCGATTTCCTAATCAAGTTTGGCGTGTCTCTGTACGTATCAACTAACGAAATATCTGCAAAAATACATTATTGTAAATGATGTAATCTCGTTCCCCTTAAAATATAGTACCAACACCGGTTCCTTAACAGTCACTGGGCTATATGCCCAAGTAAGGTCACTGAACTCGTCGTACCCATTTTACGATTCCTACTTATTTTAAAGATTTACTTGAATTGGTGACAATATGAAAATCATGGCATACGCACAGCTTTACCCAAATATGTAATATTAATACTATGTCTATTTTCGAAAAGATCGTTCTGCTCCTAAATCATTGATTTGAACGTGTTTATCGGTTACCTTACAACTAGTGTCTGACTGAAGTTCGACTTTTGCCCGAAAGCCAGCAAAATTCTAATGCGACATAGTTTGTATTACTTCCTTGATGGACACTCCATGGATAAGGCGCTGACGTGGTAAAAGATAGCGCCGCAATTTATTTGAGACGCGTTTCACTCTTGGTAATTTATTTAGAGGCATAGGCATTGCTTTTTTTAAAAGTATTTCTAGAACCGCCTGGGTTTCTGGTAAACACCAAACGATTTGTCAAAGATAGCTTTTGGTCGAATCATTTGATGACCGAAGCTTCGGTCAGACACTATCGACAGCAGATAAATTAGACGTTGCTATAAGTACAAATTTAAACGTGGGTTTCGTCTGAAACGAGAATTCTTCGTTTTATTTTATTCACTAAATCATTGTGTGATTTATGGTAAAGCAAAAATTTAACAAAATCACTTCATACAATGCCAATTAACCGGAAATCAAGTGAAGCTGGTAATTGGGGTCCCTGGACTACTTATTTATTTAGACAGACCCCAACTATAAACACCGATTTAATATTAGATATCTTCTTGCACCGAAGAATATATACTATAGATACTTCCATTCACATATCCGTAGACCCTCTATAAATCCAGTCGAAATGTTAATTTCCATCCATTTAACTACCGTTAAGTAAATTTTCTTGAAGATATAATTAATTATTATTAAAATGGGTACAAGAAACCGATGACACTTTACACGGTATCTAGGTATGCATTTTAACTTATGTCATAAAATGACAGACTAAAGATCTATTTTCAGGCCAACGAAACGAGATGAAGAATGTAAACACGCGTTCGGGGGTTCAAAACACTTTAATAGGGACATCTTTCACAAAATGGCGAATCAAATGTTGCGCAACTACGCTTGCTTCCCAGTACCTCGAGTCGAGTCGAGACCACTGTTCGAAAATCTTGCATTGAGTACGAGAGATAAGGATGCAGATCAACTCGTTAACGGACCGTTTACGTCTTTCATCTCGTTCCGTTAGGCTTTACGTTAACTTTACGCCGTGACTTAAAAACTAGCTTCGTTTTATTAACCTAATCACATCAATTTAGAACATTTGTTGTGTGGTAGTGATAGAGGCACGGCCCACCGCTTGGCGCTTGAGTCCACGAAACAAGAAGATGGCGGCGGCCTTGATCGGCGCAACTAGGGGTGCATGCGCAACGCTCTCCCATTGTCAGACGTTGCCGGTGGCAGGGAACCTCGGGGGCGGCAGTGGTGGAGGTGGCCGGCCCGCCTCCCCCCCAGCCGACGATTGCTCCGACACTGAGGGATTATGACCATCATCGTCAGACCTGACAGTTCCTAGCCTCGATGCATAATATTAGAACGTAGAATGGAATACGTTCATTATCCAACAAATAACACAAAAAAATACTTTTCTATCACCACAAGAATATTACAAATATAGGATTCAATTTGAAACTAAAAGTCCATCAAATCACAAAAAATTGCAAAAATAAAAAAAAAAACGATTTCCAATAGATCATACTGAATTTCTTTTTTTATCTTCCTCGTAACTCTATCGTCAGTAGAATTAAAAAAAACTACGTTACTAAGACTACATTTTGCTACATACTACAAGTTAGTATTTTTTTTACACTATTACAAATTACGTTTGGCAAATAACAGATTATAGGTAAACGCTTAAAGTCAGATTACCTTAAATTAAATTTCTTCTCAACAATGGAAACATTTGATCATGCATATATGAATTAGAAGCACAATAAAATGTTACGATAAGTTATGGCGTATACAGTTCGATGAAATAATTTCAATGTTTGGTTCTAGCGAAAGCATGAAATACAGGTGCGTATATTACTTAGATATTTTCATACTTAGAATTGTGTTAGTGTGTGTACTTTAATTGCTGACGATCCTGTAATATTTAAATTTCAGACAAAGGTAAACAAATATTTTAGATTGAAATATTAACACTATCTATGGCAAAAGGCAAGCACAGCTCGAAGCCATAGATAAAACAAAAAATGAAAATATTTGCCAATGCCGTGTAAGTACCGTCAGCATTTAAAGCAATGGGGTTTTCAGTACAAGAACGCTACAAATGTTAGGGTGAAAAAAGACAACTATAATTGAAGTATTAGTCTGTCTATGGTACTGTTCTCACGTGAGTCATGTTTTTCGTCGACGGGGGCTGGTGGTGGCGGCGGCAACTGTTGTTCCAAAGCGTTCACACAGTTCATCATACTTCCATAGAGTCGGCTGTCCCGAAAACTGTCCCTGTACATACACCCAGCACGGTCATACCCAAGCCTAGAGAAGCAAACCCCACAATCACCCTTGTTCGAAGATAACAGTACATACGAACGAACAGTAACGGCAATATTATAATCGTAATCACTCATTTTAATTTTGAACTGTCCACGCATCTTGAAAAACCTTTCACTTGTCTCCAGTGAGGAGCAATCGGCTTTATCGACAACCGGCAATAAATTAGTGGTGTTAAACGGTACCAACGGCTTCTAGGGCTCTTCAAGGCACAGGGATGGTGACACCTCGTAATTCCAAACTCCGTATGTGTACCAAATTTTTTTAGAAAATTCTGAATACCAAATTAGATTTTTGTCCGAATTGGGATTTAAACCTTCGTAATCTACAGTCAAAAGTACCAACCGTATAATTAACGCAATTTTCTGAATATTATTGTTTATTATTTCAATGTCTTCTACCTACTAGTAAATTCTTTTTTTATTAGATGACGTGTTATTTCAACCAATTTGCTAATTGAATTAATTTCAATGTTATTAAATTATTGTGAATTTTATAGTTACATTTTAAACGGTAATTTATATTTTTCTTTTAAATAATTTTAATTAAGTACTATCTATTTTGTATGTGTATTCTTTTTATTTTGTTCTCAACCATATTTTTTAAAAAGACGGAGTTTTTGGGCTAACTATATATGACTTTTGTAAATCTTCATAGCTTTGATAACTTTAAGGTATTTTTCTTTATAATAATCCGTTTTTGTCAGCCTGTGAGAAACTTCTATTTTTGACTTCCATAATAAATACGAATTTACATAAGCCAGCCTGTGGGGTAAAGAATGTATACACCGAGTACATACAAGAATCACACATAAAAACCCGTCGTGCATCGCGTGCCGATGGTCATGGTAACAATATGATGACGTGTCGCGTTCGGAGATGAGGTGTAAACATCGATGTAGGTGATGTTGGGTGACGAACACAGGGTGTGCACGTTATTAACAATAATTATGTAAACTAACAAATCCGCCACCCGAACCGAAACTTACCTGCCGTTAGAATTCCGGAACAACGCTAATATCTCCTCGAAGGTCTTGTTTTTTGTTTCAGGAACTTTTTTATACGTAAATATCCAAAAAATTGCAAGGAATACACTAAAAGGCAGGAATGTATAGTTTTCCAGTAGAGCCTGAAATTGAATTGCATTCGTCAATATTGGCAATACAAAGCTAATTAAATCAGATAGGAAAACAACCACACATAATGAATCTTACCTTCATGCTTGGAAAGCCGATTCCAACAACGAAATTGGCCATCCAGTTCACTAGAACGGCAATTGCCATAGCGCTCGGCCTCGGTCCTTGAGAGAAGAGTTCGGCAGTGATCAGCCAAGGAATAGAACCAGGACCCACAGCGAAGAACACCACAAAGCTCAACGTCGACACAACCGACAGGTAACTCATCCAGTCTATCATTTCCTGCACATAGCCGAAAAACTCCTATCAGGGGATAGCATGATCGTTCTTTCCTGTAACCGACCGAGGCGGAAATAAATCGCAAACATAAATGTTACCACACACTTGTCTGTCTGTGTATGTTTGTTATCTGACTGAACTGTTCACCACAGAGTGCTGGACGAGCAGTGAGACAATTTAAATAAAACTGTTCACAGAAGCGATCTCAGAAAGGATAAGAAACTGTGCTAGTTTTCAGCGTAGTGAGATAAACCCGTTTTAATTTGGCTGTGTTTGCATTTGCGTGAAAAGTGCTTTCTGCTTTTGAGCAGCGTTGTGTAGAAATATCGCTTCGAAAACCGCGTGCGATAGAGCTCCTCGTGATTAGTTTTTTTTTATTACTTTTATATTAGTTTTGTTTTTGTCTTCGTCAACGAAAATGTGTTTGGTGCTGTATGAATGATGTACTCCTCCTAACATTTATATTTGACAATTTATTCCATTTTTATTTACAACGCTTTCCTATTAAGAGTACGGTTTCGGAAACAGGAAAGTCGCAGAGGGGGGGAGTGATATCTACAGCAAAGCGAAAGCAAAATAATTATGTATGAGATTAAAGGAAAATATGAAACGCTATATGCCGTTTATAACTGAACTTTTCATAGTTAACTAGAAAGAAGATTCTACTTTTTGAAAGATGGTGTCTAATGTAAGAAATGAAGAACACACAAGGTTTTGCAATTAAAATCAGGTAAAATTTTAATAAAAATCTGTGAGAAGAATGGAAGCCATGTTGAATAAGCGTGCTAAGCGTAAATAAAATATTACTTATAACTATATTCATATAAAGTTGGTTTTAAACAATCTCAACGTATTGGCGTGGCAAGGACATGTCTTGGGTTCGAAATTCAAGTATACTTTCGGTCGGGCATAGCAAAGACTGTGAACTGCTCCAATGCCTATACCTGTCAAGAGGTAATAATTTATACCAACTTTATATAAACCTTTGAGTTAGAAGTTGACAGTGAAAAACGTATGCATTTCCTTTTGAGACGTCATCTTTGATTTCAATTCTACGTCAACCATATTTCAGAACTATAAAAATATATGTAGTCAAATTAAACATAACATATTATTAAGTAAAAATTGCAATTAAAAATAATTGTAAAGGCCGCAGTTTATTGAGAACTTTGTTTCATACATCTACAAGTACCAACTTCCAACTTATTAAATTTCTAGTCCAGAGGTCTTATATAAAATGTCTAGTTCAGATGCAATAATAAATATCCAAGGATAAAATACACTAATAAATTTTCAGGTTTCCAATTTAGCTTTGGTGTAAAAGACGTAGAGCTGAATAACATTGAAAGATTGTTTCCCCAAACTTTCCATGACTGCTTGGCAATGTGGAAAATGTGGGGTACGGTAATCCAGGTATTACAAATTGCATTTGAACTAGAGACGACAAAGTAAAACTACTATATACTTACTTTTAAACCCTGTTAAATATTACATTATTGTACAGTGTAAACTATTTATATTATTAATCTTTTTACTGACAAAATCACTATTATATTACAATCCTTAAAGAGCAGAAGCAATTCAGCTCATAATAATACAAAATTGCCTGTTTCTTTCTAAAGAGTTTACACTAAATGAGGATGCTAGAGCCAGAGTGGCCTAATAACAAAAACTTGATTTTCAATAAGGAAGAAAAGAAAAAAGCGCAATTAACTAAAATGAATTTGTACTACATTTTCAGTGACTGTGCGCTTGTAGATTAACATTTTTAGTGTATAAAAATATAAATAAATCAAGTCATAAAAATTTACACAATTTTGACAGTTAGGTCACTCTGGCTCTCATATTATCATACACTTTAAGGTAGGCTGAAGTAATCCTCTTTTGTCGTGGGTCGAATTCCTGAAAAAATACACCGTATATGTATTAAACACACCTTTATAAGAAACGAGATAGTGATGAATATTGAGAAGATGAACATTCCGCCAAGCCCGTACAGATGTAAGGTTCGGCGTCCAGTGCGGTCCATGAGGGGCAAAGAGACGAGAGTCATCCCCACCATGATGGCTCCAATACCCATTGTTGCGAACTTTGCCGATTCTTCGGTGAGACCCGATGATGTGAACAGCGAGGTCGAATAATAGAACACCTACGTAAGAATTATCTTTATTAGTATAGAGCAATATGAAAAGATAAAAGACAAACATAAAAAAAATATAAACAATCGTCAACATACTTCTGTTGCAAGATAAAGAATTTATTCTTTATATGACTTACCGCATTAATTCCGCTAAGTTGTTGAGACAGTTGCATCACGACGCCAATAAGCAACGGTGCGCGAAGAGTTGGAGAACAGAGGAGCTCTCTCATCGATATTGACGCTTCAGCCTGTTGAGCCCTTTCTTCTGCTCGCATTTCTTCGATATCTTCTTCAACCTGGATGAGTAACTTTAATTTATTGACCATCATAATCATTCCATTATTTTTGGTCTCTGTAGCAAGGCAATGTTTAGAGCATTTCTGTTTCTTCGTAAACATTACAGTGAAAAAACGAAGTAGAAGAAGAAGAAGAATGTACTGTTTTTGAGCAGGAAAGCAGAATTTCTCTGGAATTAAAATGATATAATAGAAATGAAAAAAACAGCTATTTCCCCTAAATACCTGGTTGCTAGCTCGTAATCTTCTTAATGCTCTACGGGCCTCTTCCTCCCACTGTCGAGTAATAAGCAGATAGCGTGGGGATTCAGGACAAGCGGGCAAGAGCAATAGTTGCAATATTGCTGGGCACACGGCTAAACCTGATGGCAACGGTGATATTAGTTTTTATCCGAGGGTACATTTAGTTGTTTGCGACAAATTAGTTACCCAGGAGTATTGGCCAGCCGTCGTCGGTGCCGAGAATTTGCTCGATACCAAGTACTTGCGATAGAAGCAATCCTACTGTGACAGCTAGCTGGTTTACTGTGCCCAGTCCTCCGCGAAGGTTCAAAGGTGCAATCTCAGATATGTACATTGGCACTAAAGATGTATTTAGCCCTGGAAGTAAAGCGACATGGTACTAACTTTGCCTGATTATGAACAATCAGATGCCAATCATAAATTGCTTAAATTGGTTTGGAAGTGATAATTTTTAATGGGAGGATAAACAGCGTCGTTACGTAACGCATCTAGAAGCCAATCTGATCTGAGATGGACAAGTATTTCGTTTTTTTTTGTATAGTGTACTTATCAATCTACATGCGGGGTTTATTCAATATGTGTTTCTTCACCAGAAAGCATGTATAATAAATAATACGTGCTCGAATATTTAAACTGAATAGAGTTTTAAAAAATATACAATTATGAAATGTCTCTTAGTCGGTGTATCTTTTGACATTTACCAACTATCAGAATATATACGAAGATAAAAGATTTGATGTATAACTCCCGATCTCTGGAATTTGATTCAGTTGTAATGATATCGTTAGACCACTGTTCTCAATTCTCTCATAAAGATAATGCAACATTTAAAAAAAGGATTAATTTATGTATGGTTAAAGTTTAACGAACTACATTTGAAAGGGAGAGTGAATTGCAGAAAAAAAAAATTTAAAAACGACTTCAAGTCGTGGTAATCATATATTAAAAAAGGTATATATTCTAGTTCGTGGTATCGTATTTCTGGCAACCTAAAAGTTTAGCTTTATTTAAGTAAACGTCGAAAATGTGAAATAATTACGATTCAAGCCTAAGTAATGCACTACGAAACGCGCCATTTCAAGCTACGCTTACCGCAATTAACGCCGATGATGAATCTACCGAAGAATAGCATTTCATAACAATGCGAAATCTTTGTAAATCCCATTAGACTTGCGCCGCTAATACCGAGAATGTTATTGAGCAATAGTCCACCCTTCCTGTTGGATGGTAACAATATACATATAATTAATAAGAAGATATAATTTATTAAATATCAATAATAGCGTCGACGAGAAGATATTATACTGGTGGTAACAGAAGACAGACTACATTGCATTAAATTTGAACTGACGCTATAGAAGACAAAGAAACAGGAATTTATTAAAATATGTAATAGTAAAGATATATGAAGTAATGAAATTCTATGTGAATTTACCTTACTTAGAAATTGTATTGGATTGTCGTAAAAGTACCAAAACTTTAATAACATTTAAATGAAATAGTTTTAACGGCTTAAAACTTTTTATTTAACTACGACCCAACGTTTCGGGTGCCAAGGTGGCGCGTATTTAACAGTTTAAGTGTTTTAATCATACGAATTTCGTTTTATTATTAGAGATTTGTAATACCTTCCAAACCGATTCGCGATCATCCCACCCGAAAACCCACCAAGCATCCCACCAATGGCAAAAATGCTAACAGCGATCGAGTACAACGTGTTAACAGCGTCGTCTTGTATATCCTTCCCATAGCGATCTTTGTATACGTCTTTCATGAAGTTTTCGATGTTCTGTGAAACATATTGACTGTTAGATTTTATCAAATTCAAAAAGGGGGTTTAAAAAAATGTATCGTCTATCCTCACTCTGCCAGGAGCGTTGATGACACCAGTGTTGTAGCCAAATTGCAGCATTCCGAGGACCGCGGCTAGTATAGCGTAGGACAGGAAGAATGTTAAGCCCTGGAAGAAGAAGAGGACGTAAATTTGAAATATGTCACAGTATTGATCCCTTAAGAATTCATTCCGAAATACAGCTTTATATAAGTTATAGCTATTTCCATACTTGTTCAAGCAATCTCAGTTTCCGCCTTTGCGTGTGTTCTTCCAATCTGTCAACATACTCGCGCAACTCTTCAATCTCCTCTTTGACCTGTTGCACGGTGTCTAATTCTTGCTTGATGGCGACCATGTCTCGCTTCACCTAAAATATAAATGACATTTTAAATAAAACATCCATCGTAATCGTAAATAAACAATTGGTTGTTATCTCGTTCTGACTCTGACATCGTAGCAAATTAATTTATGATTTTATAAACGACGTGTTCATTATTGTAATAGTAATGTAAGGTCGTGAGTTCGATCCCCAAAGGGTCCAAGATTTTGAAACGTGAAAATCTGGATATTAAATAGGTGGTAGGAATATCAAAATTCCGTCCGAGTCACCGTCCACCGATTAAAAAGCTTTTAAATAAAACACTTTAACGGTTTAAAACGCGATACATTAGTTAAACTTATTTGAAAATGATTTTTAACTTCGGCCCGACGTTTCGGATGCTTTGCAGCAGCCGTGGTCACGGGGACACCACGGCTGCTGCATTTTCAAATAAGTTTAACTAATATATCCCGTTTTAAACCGTTAAAGTGTTTTATTTAAATGTGTACTACTCGCGTAAACTATAGACAGTATTCGATTAAAAAGCTGTGAAACTTGTGGTCGCGTTACGGTTTCAGTCTGGGGATTACCGAATATCCAAAGTCAATATAGTAACATCTTATATGGCTTAAAGTATTGCACCTACCACCCAGTAATCCCACCCTATATACTAATCGTATAGGAAAAATATTTGGAGAATCAGTCGTAGGTATATTGATATTTTGTCCGGTTTACGAACCACAGTCCCTATATGCAAAACAATGTAAAACAGAATGATCCAAATGTTCAATGACAAAACAAGTAGATATTATGTGGTTAAGGCATTTCAAACAAAAATATAAAAGGATTTTTCGCGATATTGAACTATTGATCATAGCACTTAGTGGTATTTCAAAAGAATAATTCTGTTCTCGTTTCAATCGGTTATTCCGCACGTTTTCAAAATAATCCTGTGAACGCGAATGGTCCTCACGTTTTGAAGCTTACGTGGATTTGAAAGCAGCGCAGACTCGATCGAGCTTGCTCAATCAAAGATAGAAATATAGGATTTTTTATTTAAATCACGCAACTTTATTTGCCATGTAAAGTAAGGGCTCTGAGCCAACCATTCAATTCTACAAATTTGATGCGTATTATCGATACCATTTTAAGAAAATCTTTTTGGTTTAACATTAACACCTATTCCTATTTACAAGGGAATAATTAAAATGAAACATTTTTGATCTTACGTAAGTCAAAAAACAGATGTAATATTTTATTGAACATAGAGGAGGTCTCCTCTGCATAAGCATGTGGTTTACTTGATGGGAAGTAAATTCCCTAGCCATATAAATCTAAACAAAACTTTGGATATCCTGAAATCCACAGGCTAAAACCGAAACGCGATTAAACTTCACGACTTTTCATCTGCGGGCGGTGGTTCGTGACACGGATGGAAATTCGATATTCCTAGTACACATATTTAGATTTCCAGACGAAGTCCAATGTGTTTCAAATTTTTCTGAACCAAACCCACAAACCGTTGATTAGTAGTCATACACGCTACCATTAGACAAATGAGCCCGTCAAATACTAAAAGTACCATTAAGTCTAGAAATGCTACCAATAGTTTATCATCATGAACTGACTGAGGCTCCTCACGTACATTAAGTATTTCCTAGTTTGTCCCAGTTCTTACCTCGGAAACTTCACTCTGACATGATTCAACGCTCTTGGTTAGCTCTTGGAGTTGAGTTCTTATCTCGCACAGAGCAACCGTGGTCTCGAGCTGCCGGTCGCCACGCTGTAACTCGTCCAATTTGGCGGAAAGATTCATACTCATCACGCTCACCTGTCTCTGAAGGCTAAACAATAAAACTACATTAATATTTTTAAAAATATTAACAGAACTGAACAATTTTCAATACATCGAAAGAAGGTTAAAGAGGGCTAGGCCAAGGAATGCTATAGAAGATGAAAAGAAAGAAAAACAGAGAAGACTAACAATGACAAAGAGTATCAAGCTCTCAATTTTAAAAGGGTAAAAATAAAGAGAAGTATAACAAAAGTGTAAGGTAACATTGACTTTAACTTAAATCTTTAAGTACACATCTGTATTGAAAATTGCTGTTTAATTTTTAGTTTTAACATAAACTACTCTGTAAATGAAAATAATGAAGCAGAAAAGTAAATTCTAACTGACCTCAAAAAGTATAATATTCAGTTTCAACTAGCTGACATTGTTAAATTGGTTGTATAGAAATTTTGATAGCTTTTGCATAAATTCTAGGTTATTGGCTAGAAAGTTAGTCTATGGAGATGGTTTAATGCCTTTTACTTCCATTTCCTCTTCATTGAATAGTAACACAATTAATATTATATAAATCAAATATTTCACTTTAACCAGTGGGCTTATTATAACAATGCATAAAATAATGTAGATTAAATAGTAACAACAAACTTAAAGGTAGAATTAAGATAAAAGCCAATATTTATATAAGGTGTATGGTTTAATTATTGAAGGTTATTTGAATACAATATACGACATAAAAAGCTTCGTGTATTTACAAATAAAATACGGTCTATTTTCTTGAACTGTCATAATTAAGAATACAATTAATAGCATAGTTATAAACAGTAAATAAACACGTGATAAGACAAACAATGAAATGTGAAACAATGCTACTCGGTGTAGAGAAAGAACATTTTTAATGCAGCTGTGTTCAAATGTTACGATTACTAAAAGGTCGAAGATGTAATGTTTATTCATGTATTATACAGCATAGTACCGCGCTAGTCATCAAATATGTCGCGTGTTCTATGGGGAAAATTATAAAACATCTTTCATGCCCACTAAGAGGATCAGAAAACGGCAGAGGATTCTGCAACACTATCAGCACGAGAACGTTTTTAGGCTTCGTTAATTCGTGACTAGACAGTTAGACTACGATTCCAACACAACATCTGTCAAACATGCATGCGAATCTTTGATTTTGAATTCTTTCAGCTCAAAGATAGGATTCATATTACAATCGTAATAATTGATCCTGGGAGCAGGTGTAAGCGACAACGCTGTGCTCAACGACGTGTCCAGAAAGACCCGTGGCCATTGTAACTAATGCACGTACGGTAAACTATCGTTCGATGTTATGAAGTAAGAGTGGATGATGAGACGTCGCGGATCGCATCAATGCAATATCTGCAATACAAGATATTTCGGATGCCAAGCCAAGGTGAAATATGTATAGACACATCGACAAACAGATTTTCATGAATCGACAATGCAATGAAGCCAGTTATAAAGGCGGAAAGCTAGTTCGACATTTCTCTAGGGTCACACGTACCTAAGTAGAAGTTCCCTGAGTGTTGCCTCGTCCTCCTCCGTCGGCGCATATCGTGTCAGCTTGCCGCCGGCCTCGCGGCCCACATGTTCCGGTACCACTGTATCAAAAGCCTCTTTTATTCTCCTATATGCTGTCGAGAGGTGCTCGCTATCCCCACGTCTGACTCACGATCATACGCACTCGGTCTAGGTACGCGGAGGCTCAAAATATTTCATTATTACCCATTTAAATATTCCGTTATCATTAAATGACTAGTGTATCATAACAGTAACTTCATAACTTAAATCGAACCAACGTTATCACCGTACTGCCAATTAGTGCCAATGGCCACGACAATAATAATAATCTGTGACACACAAATAACAATTTTATGACCCCGTTAACGTACTATATAGTGTTTTACGAGAACTACGCAATACAAACGCGTATCGTTTTTAATAAAATTTCGGTACATAAAATATGATACAACATTTTGGAAGCGGCACGTAGCTTTGATTATATCCGTGGCATGGAAAACAATGAAACGGTCTGCCGTCGATTTTAAAATGTTATACGACCACGGTGTTAATATCGCACCATTTTTTTAGACTCAGGCGAAGCGTTGATATTTCTCTTAATTCGTTATTGGGCCTATAAAAGAATAATGATAAAACAAAAATAATGTTCGCAACAAAATTAAACCATGCAAATAAAGAAGTGAATTAAATGTTAATAGATATGTTTTATACCAGCGTCTTTAGAAAGTATTAATATTGTGTACTGAAATAAAAGCTAGTTATATTAATAATTTTAAAGGTTATGTGTAGACGATATTACCTTAGAATGAAATGAATATATTACCTGAAATTTGGTCTACTGGTGAGTAAAGAGGGGGTTCTTCCCCCCCTGCCTGTTGGTGCTCAAGCAGACGATGGCACGACTGTCTCATGAGCGCTCCCGGCACTGTAAAACACAAACTATTAGTAGTGTCAGTTAACTTAAGATATATATATATATACAGATAACTTTTTAAAATGTCATTTATATACAAAATAATAACTTTTTTTACATATAAAAGAAAAATCAACTATTCTAGTGATGTAGCAAGTCTCTATGTGATTGCTACGGCGTAGCAGAATCGTAGTACTTGGCTAAGTAAAGTCTGACTAGGAGACACCGAGGCACAAAAACATATCACGTTGTAGACAAAAATGTATGTAAAATTCTGTTTTTTCTACATGGGGCAAGCATTACAAAATCTGAAAACACACTGAATTTTTGTAAGCTCGATCAGACGTCCCCTAGATTATAACCGAGAACCTCTCGCGATTAACGCAAAGCTAAGTTCAGTGGCGTAGCTATACCGTTCGAGGCCCGTGGCAAATTCATCGAATGGCATACCATTGTTTTTCGGACTGTTCGGCCGACGTGAGCGAGAAGTGGTTCTCGACTCGCCATCACGAGCGGACTATCGAATTCTTCGAGCCATCGAGGAGCTAACATCTCCTGATGATGCTCTTCTCTCTCATGAGGCGCCGAACAGCCCGAAAAACAATGACATGGTGAACGAGGACCGTGAAAACCTTACACAATTTAAACTGTTCGAAAAGCGAACTATATTAATGAATGAGTAGTGCATTGTTCGCAATTTATAAAATCCACTACAAACCTGCGAATGTAATGGTAAATGAGCTTACACGCGTGCTTAAATTACAATTTTGTTCATACCGCAGTAAATAGAGTTGAAACAGGCGGGAAATTAATATGTTAATAAACGGTGGTCGTATTTCACACCCGAACTAAAATCTACCTGCGAGATCCGAGAGCCAATTTACGTCATAATTTCAGCGAAGTTTAATTTTAACGCCGTAATCTGAGCATACTGTGCACGAAAAGCGACTATCAGAAGTTATTAAGTAAGTATTCGCCTTAATACCCTAACTATGTAAGACGTACTTGACGTACCTGCTAGCTATGATTAGAACAATTATATATATAATAGAATAAGTCTAATGGTAGCTACGTATGTCAATCAATGGATCGCGGGTTCGATCCCCACCAGGTCCAACATGACTTTAATTTAAAAATTTATAATTTGAAACCTGGATATCAAATGGGTGTTAGGAATATAATTCCGTCCCGGTGACGAACCACGTCATGAAAAAGCCATGACGGTTAATCGCGTTTCTGTTTCAGTCTGTTGATTTTCGAATATCCAAAGCCAAAATAGGTCGACAGCAAATCTTCTTTAGATGCCAAAGGCTGGGGTATATCACCATCACACATATAGAACCTCATGCTTGTCTATCTTCCTCTATCATAAAAAAAACTTGTTTGCATCTCCATTTTCAACGAACCTTTATAAAGAAAAACCAAAATCCTAATTTATATATATCTTAGCTAACGTTACCTTTATTCTAGTTATTGTCATTTGACTACTAGCGATGGCAATTCATTCCACGACATTGTATCTGAAACAAAGGAAAACGCATTAAATGTGGACACTCGGCGCTAGTTGATGCAATGCAAAAGAAATGTACTAAAATTGAATAAACCTGATGTATGGAGCTACATGAACTGTTTGCTTATTTAGTATTTGGAGGTCACTAAATCAATATCCACACTTTTTTTCATAAATATCCTATGTTTAAGGGAGACTTTTGGTCTAGTGGTATAAGCACACGAGTAAGTTCGTAAGGTAGCTAGTTCGATTTATTATGTGAGGCATTTAACGAAATCGTCTACCAACAAGCATTTCACATGGTAGCTTAAGGCTTATATATTATTCCTATATGAAAAATGGATAGTTAAAGTTTTACTAGAAGCTGAAAACTAGGAAAATTATTATATACAGTGAATGAACGTTAAACATTAAATAAAACACTTTTAACGGGATTAACATTGTAGTTTAAAAATAATTAACTAATATATTTTTAGGAGCCCGTTTAGAGTGTTTTATTAAAAAAAAATTGAATCGTCAAAATAAAATTTATAAACCCTAAAATTTTAATAAAAAGGTACATAATATAAAATTTGTATACTCGCAAATGCAGTTAATAATAATAAAGCAGCAAAAATAGAAGGAATAATAAAAAAAATAAAAGTGCGCCGTGTGTTTTAAAATGACACTAATGTAGAGTGAAACTTACCATTTTGACGAAATTGTAGTTTTAAAGACGAAAATAACAGTATTAAAAAAAAGTAAAATTGAAAACTCTTGAATTATGAAAAAAAAATCACTAAATTTGAAAATGGAACAAACGTAGAACGTATTGAAAGTGCAATCGCGTGAAAAAGTGATGATTAAATGTTATTTTCAATTAAATAGGTCAAAAAGTATTTTATCTTTTTGTCGTTAGAATACTATGCGCTCAGCGGTAATGGCTGTGTGGCTTTGGCGAGGATCTGACTGGGTCCACGCATGCGCCGTAACCACTAGATATAACTCAAACGTGTAACTGCACAGGCTGCATCGAATCTGAGCTCAAAGGGAGCAACGATAACAACGGCACAGGCAAAAACAGACGTTATAGGCTTTATACGCGATTGTACTTTTCGCGAACTGTCCGCGACCGTACATTCCGAATCGCCAATCACCGTATTCGCACAAGCAGTGGCCATCGATTATTATATTTGAGTTAAATCTCGTTTCTCTATTGTGAGGTTTGTCTGTCTTAAATAAGTGACTAGTGTATGTCGTGCTGGAGCACAGAAATATGCTCCACTAAATTGATTTAGTGGAGCATATTTCTGTGGCCTCCATCATTATACTTACCTCTCATTGATAAAAAAAATCTTTATTTCTTTGAAATATACAGTAATAAAAATAATCTCCGAGGCTTTCAAATACAAGCTTTCAGACTCTATACAATGAGAAGCTTAACGTTTTATATGTCAGTGTCGATATATGACTAGAAGTATTTCCTAGATGGTATACAATACTTATTTACGAAGCTTTTTCAGAAAACAGAGCTTTAATTCATAAAAAAATGTCCTTAGGTCCACCAAGCTATTTCAATGAAGGTTAGTGGGCTTAACAGGCGTGATAACACAGCTTACTTAAAAGTCCAGTGTAATGAATAATGTCTCAATATAATATCTTAGAAAAAAGCCTTAGATCCCGTGATAATCGCCAAGTGAAACAACTAGATCAACGAAGCAATTATGTGTTATTTATATTTAATTTTTAGTATTTATTCAGATCTAAAGCGCAGAAAAAAATAGGATAAAATAAAAAAAAAAACTATTTAATAAACTTCGTTAATTTTATATTGTTTTATTTATATGAGTTTACGTTAAGGGGCTGTCTGAATAAACAGTTTGCTACAATAGAACCAAACATATACAGCGCCGGTCTCCGTCGACCGAGAGTTTTATCTAATTGGCAGCATCTTGACATGTTAACATTGAATAATGAAAAAACAAAAGTTTTTTTTTACTTGGGAGAATCGAATCTTTATCGACGCCCCGGCCGAACCACAATACAGTGGCGGGGGAAGTGTGGGGGGGGCAACCAGTTTGGCCACCCGCAGAAACAAAAGTAAAGCAACCAATATAAATAACCCAATGTAACATTCCCTTAAAATTCATACCTTAGAAATTAAAATAAGACAGTTAAATTAATTAAATTAAGCAAAAAAAAAAACAATTTTGGCCTGGAACAGTAAGAAAAGTGGGTTTTTCCCGTTATTAATAATCGCTTAGCAGAGTAGGTTAGTGGTTTTAGAGTTAAGTAACGTTTGTACAATATTATACTCCGAAATATGAGCTACGTGACTAGAATCATTTTATAAAACATTCACGATTTCTAAATTTTTTATTAGAATTCGAGAACTTCGTATATACGGATATAACGCAAGTGTAATCGTTAAGTTTTCATGTTCATTGCTACTCGTGAACTATTTACGCTTTGCAGCGACTTCATTCGCGTAGATTCATTATTTTGGCCAGCTCATCTGTTTTTACAAAGCACCTCCTCATCTTTATATAGCAGTTAATTTTAAAAGATAGGCATTTCGTGCCGGAAACATTTTTATAAATAATTTAAAGAGGAAACATTATTTTATACATATTTTTAGCGTATTTAATATACTATTTTCGTAGCGCACGCATAAAACTAATATATTCCTCCGTTTCTTTTACATATCCTAACACCTTTCAACAATTTTTGAATTCGAACTAGTTGTTCTCGTGAACCAGTTCAAACCGACAAACTCTTCAGTTTATACATATTAGTATACACATTGATGTATTAGGTCTTATATATATCTCTACTATGAACAAATGATATTAAAAAGACAACGAATATAACATTTTATATAGCCTTTTTTGGTCTTCTCGAAAGTATGTTAAATTCGATTATAAATTTTTAAGCTTCAATCGTGGCATAGATCAACTTTCAACCTACTTTTAATTCACACCTGTTGATGGAAAATTCAGCTGCTCTCAAAGTACTCTTGACATAATGACGCTTGAGTGTAATTATGTTACACAAAGAAGATAAAAAATTATGAGTTAGTATTTTAACCTTCCTTCCAATAATCGATTTTTAATCACCCAAACTTCAATAGCGCCTAAGACGACCAGAGTTATTATCCAGAGTTAAACGTGAAGTATAATCACATTTTGTTTCCAATAACGGGATTTTTAAATGTCTCAAAACAAAGGCGGTAGCGGTAGCGTATCTTGAGTAGATAGTATATGGCTGAGGCATTTTACCTTTGACCTAATAAAGGCCTTGCTTATGTGTCCTCCCTGCCATTAAAAAAGTAAATAGTAGTACAGCAATAACACAATAAATATCTCAAGAAGGACTCGAAAAATGTTAGCAACAATTTAATTTCCAACTCTTCGCGAACACCCACGTTATAACAAAGAAATGGATAAGCTTATTTATTAAAACATTTCTACGAGAAACAGCGTGATAAATAGACTTGGTATTTAAAAAAT